CTAGATCCTTCAGACAGATGTGTTCTCTGTGTTCATTAAAACTCAATAATGCAGGTAGATTTGTGTTTGGTGAATGAGTAAGCATATGCTGCTTTGCTCAGCTATATCTAATTTTTCCTTTCCCAGCATCTCATGCTATAAATACCTTTGTGTGGGAATTCTGTAAGACTGGCACTTTTACCCAATTTTCTAATAAAAAGGCCAAGTCTTATACGCAAATTCAATTTATGGATGTTGTTCTATCTTGGTACATGTTTATCAGTTCAACAATAAGGACAGTCTACAAAGTAACAGAAGGTTTCTTCTTGATATACATTATATTTAGAATTTAGGGGATATTCCATGTATCTGTTTCTCAGAATAACTATATTTCTGTTCTTGTCAACCTGAAGATCTGAACTAGTTTCAGATCTTATATTCATGTCTACATTCTAAAAATAACCAAATTATACACCAGTAGTAGATCAAGATGCATTTCATGGTTAAATACATTACTGTGTTCCTTTTTTTTTGACTTCTAAATCCTGGACGGTTATCAGAAAATATAAGTTCACCTGGAGCAGATCAGTGCCTGGAAATAAACCTTTTTAAATGGAGAAAATAGAAAGAAAAGGGTTTGTTTATTAGGGAAATGCTTAGTGCTTTCTAGAAACATACAGGAAAACCTTCATCTACTTTCTCTCATCTCATGTAAAAATGAAATAGATGGAATGTCTATTCAGAAACTGTGGTTTCTGTGGTATGTGTCTAGAAGTAAGTTCAACCAAGGATGTTGCATGGCAGTAGAAAAGTGTCTGCCTGGAAACAGATACGTGAAGTGTGTCAGGCACTTGTGTGGGATATGCCCATGCAGATTCCAAAGTGCTGTGCTTTTGGATTAGCCAGTTACTTCTTTTAAGTGCCTTGAAAGAAGTTAAGGTCTTAATATACATGGAAATTTTGCGTGCATGTAACCAAACTTTTTGATTGAACTGGTCATTTTAACAGTAAAATTCACTTTATAGACTCTTAAAGTATTCTTTGTTCTTGCTGAAGTTCCATTGCAATCAGAAAAAAAAAAAGATGACTTAAAAAAATATATATTAAAAAAAAAGCTTAGATTAATAGAAGGAAAGATGCCATAATACCAGAATCAGATGAGTCATCGGAAACCATATAACTATTGACCCATTACAAAAGGGCCAAGTCCAAATAAACTGTGGATGTCTTGTCTTGCTATCTCTTCTACCCCCACCCTTGGAGATTAAAAAACCTACTTGAGCTGCCCTGAAAAAATAATCCTAATTTGAAGGGCTCCTGACTCCCATCTGATAGGGGATCTTGAAAGCATTGAATATACCATCTTGAATCATAGGTGGAGTACTAGACATCTGGTTTTGTAATTTTTGCACCACCAGTTTAGTGGGCAATGAACTGCTTTTGTATCACTGGTGTACTCTAGCATCTATTAACTCCTGGGATTCTTGTACTTGTGATAGGGTTTTTTAATTATTTTTAGGTTTTTGGCAGCCTGGAGTTGCAGGTAAAAGCAGGTAACTGCCTTTTAGTCTTTTTCAGCATTTTTGAGCAGAGCTTGATTTTTAGTTGCACAGAACTTTATTTACTAAAATGGAAAATTTCATTCCAGTTTCATCCAAGCTACCTTCAGCTTTTATATGGAAAATTTTAGCAAGTATATTAACTTTTTTTTTTTTTTTTTGGAAGCAAAGCTTGGTGGTATGTTTCCACTCTACTAGACGAAAAGCTTTAGATTTTTTCTCATAGAAGAAGAATTATGCCCCTTTCAGAAGAGATCTGAGGCCCAAATGGTCTTAATTCAGTATGTCTTCTATCATTTATGTCTGAATTTATTCTATTTTGGCAAAGTTACTATCTTTTGGATTAGGCTTAAAAGTCTATATTGGGAATGGATGGACTTTTGCAGTTAGAAGTAACAGGTGCTGTATTGACTGTATTTTACCACAAGCTGGAATGAGCAGAGCTTCGTTTCCAGTTTCAGTAAGCAGATGCTTCAGACCAGGGCTAGGATAGAGAACTTGGGCACAGGAAAGTGTTTTCAGTCCTAGTCTGATTTTCCTAATCTCTATAGGAGAATTAGGAATTTTTCCACTTTGCACCCAGTAGGAAAAGTGTAAAAAAAAAGTGCATGAAACTGTGATGGAATTTAGGAATCAGAGTTGAGGCTTGGGGAGAAGGGACCTTTTCTAATGTTAGGCTGGGGTGGGAGGCTGAGTTCTGTGGTGCTTAAGTCATAGCTGACGAGTAAAATGATTTGGGGCAGAATGGGGTGAAGGAAACATAGGGAGCATGAACAAATGTTGCCCCATACTTGCTGTATCTATTAGATATGTTAGTTAGAGAAGGATTTGTCTTATTCATTCTAATCTCCTAGTGTGAGTTTTCCATTGCATGGCTGAAAAAAGTAATACTGTATCTCTGAGATGCTGTAAAACTGAATGATTGCAATCAAATACATTATAGAATCATAGAATGGTTAGGGTTTGAAAGGGCCTTAAGATCATCTAGTTCCAACCCCCCTGCCATGGGCAGGGACACCTTACGCTAAATCATATCACCAAAGTCCTCGTCCAACCTGGGTCTTGAGCACTGCCAGGGATGGAGCATTCACAACCTCCCTAGGCAGTCTATTCCAGTGCCTCACCACCCTCACAGGAAAGAATTTCCTTCTTATATCCAACCTAAACTTCCCCTGTTTAAGTTTTAACCCGTTACCCCTTGTCCTGTAACTACAGTCTCTAATGAAGAGTCCCTCCCCAGCATCCCTATAGGCCCCCTTCAGATACTGGAAGGCTGCTATGAGGTCTCCATGCAGCCTTCTCTTCTCCAGGCTGAACAACCCCAACTCCCTCAGCCTGTCTTCCTATGGGAGGTGCTTCAGTCCCCTGATCATCCTCATGGCCCTCCTCTGGACTTGTTCCAACAGTTCCATGTCCTTTTTATGTTGAGGGCACCAGAACTGCACACAATACTCCAAGTGAGGTCTCACAAGGGCAGAGTAGAGGGGCAGGATCACCTCCTTTGACCTGCTGGTCACGCTCCCCTTAATGCAGCCCAGGATACAGTTGGCTTTCTGGGCTGCAGGCACACACTGCGTGCTCATGTTCATTTTCTCATCAACCAACACCCCCAAGTCCTTCTTTGCAGGGCTGCTCTGAATCTCTTCTCTGCCCACCCTGTAGCTGTGCCTGGGATTGCTCCGACCCAGGTGCAGGACCTTGCACTTGGCATGGTTAAACTTCATGAGGTTGACATGAAGGTTACTATAGAAAAGTAGCACTTAAAATGGTATCGTACTTCCCACCAGGGATTTTGACTAATGAGCAATGCGATAAGATGCTTAGATCCGCAAGGAGCAGAGGAAAAAAAAAAAAGAACCTAGGATGGTGACTGATCTTTCTTAGCAGTATTAACTTGCATGAAGCTAGTGAAAAAACTCATGTGCTTTCTAAGGCTAAACCACACTAAAATTTACTCACACCAAAGACCTGATTAAGGTTGCATGAAAAACATTGCTTCTAATATTTCCATATTGGCCCACTTGCTTTTCAAAACTAAAGCTAATTTTCTTGTGTCAATTGTAAGCAAATTATGTAGAACTGAAATTTACCTTATTAATTTTGAGAAATAAAAGACAAGGAGGATTACTAAATGTGCAAAGCTTATTACCTGGCTTAATTTTACCTTACTGCAGTGACTGCAGTTTTATCTGTATTAGAGAAAGTCTGTCTTCTGAAATGCTTTTAGAAGCTTTGACGAAAATAATATCAATCTGAAATACTAATATAGAATGGATAAAACATTGTACAGAAAAAAACCCAACACACAAACCAATGAACATAAAGCTAAGTAAAAAGTGTTTGAAAAGAAGCACCATCTTGCAAAGCTGGCTTCCATCCTTCTCATACCTGTGTGGTTTTTACCATATATTAACGGAACACTCATGATAAAGTAGTGATGAACAAGCAGAGAGTATGTCTATTAATTCTTAATATTTTTTGAAAATACCTGTCATGTCTGCTTACAAAATCAGTAATCTTTCTTGTGAAGAGCTACATTAAACATTCATTCTATAGAAAAGGGCCCAGAGGTGGTAGCAGCTTATGCAGCCTTACTTGCAGGTGTAGCAGTCCCAACACTCAATTTAGGAGTGTGTCATCAAGACTGGTTTAGTTTTGGTCTTGAGTGTAGTTCTTTAGTTATTTTGGAAACCTACATTTGGCTGCAGCCAGTAATGTGTTTCATTGTCTTTGCATCAGAGCCTAATACATAAATGGTACAAAACTTAGAGGAGAATAGTGTGAATGTAGTAGCAGGATCCTAAATTATTTTTTAGATTGCAATTCAAGCAGCATTCCTCCAGCATCTTCTGTAGCAGACATAAAGTAACACCTTGAGGGTGGGGAGGATATGCTTGGGTTTAAGGTAATGAGAATATGTCTACATTGAGGGAATATTAATGGTCTTTAGAGAATGTCTTTCACATTCAGGGTAGACTTGTTTCCTTATACTCCTGCACTCCCTCAGTTATTGCACCTATTCTCAATACTATTTTGAAAAGTAATGACATATCGAAATTCCTCAGATTGAAAATTGATTCTTGTTCTCAGTCATGGAGCTACGTACACAATAAGCATGTATGTGTTGTCCACACATCCGAATTGTACTGCTTTATCAATTCAGTTTAAAGAAAGCAGGAAAACTTCTCAGGAAAAATACTTAGTTTTGTGTGCATTGGTTTTGTGTGGTTTAATATAAGCTTGGCACCAGGTCAGTTTTCTCTTTACTGTTGTAATGCAATTTCAGAAAGGGGGAGAAATAGCCCATAAATACTAGACCCTGAAATGTCATCAAATTTGTCCCATAAAATGTGACTAGCTAGCCCAGTGAAGCGATTAGGGTAGGGAGCAGGCACATGGAGTGGCAGCAGGCATTCTTGAATTAGGTGTGCTGCAGGCTGAACTAGGACTTTGAATGCTGCTACAGGTGCTAGAGTTGCAACAGTGGGCAAAAAGTCTCCAAGTGAGCTAATGTAGACTTTGCTTAAGAATCATTAACTAAATCCCTGTTTCTTTCCATGGGAGCTCCAGCTAAAGTCACGTGACTTGGTGTAAAACAAGATCATTACCTATCAGTGCAAACATATGGCAAGTGTGCCCGTATTATTGCTTATCTCCAAGAGCGCAAGGGGGCTGTGACATTTCAAGCAAAGCCTATTGGTGAGGGAGTTTCTGTGTGAGCTTTCTTAAAGAAGTGCTTCCTTTTTAATCTTAATACTGCATGGGAAAATATACCAAACACTTTTCTCTGAAACTAGAAGATTTACATAATTCTTCTGCTTCAATGGAAAGAGAAGAAATGCTGGTACAACGTTTTGTTATGGCTGTAAGATTTGTATTTATCTGTACTGTGGAAAGTTAGTTTCCCTTCTTCTGAGATGCATTTCTCAGAAAAGGATGGTTTTGAAGATGACTTTAGTAGAAGAGTTGTTGCTGCCCATGAAAGACTTCCTTCTGGAATCTTGGTGAGTTTGACAGATTTATTGTTAAGTATGGTTATATAATTTCCTGTTGCATAGTTAAAATGCGTAAAAATTGACAGCCTATATCAAATAGTGTGTGCAAGACTTTAATTAGGCATTCAAAAGACTTACTTTGTTTCCCGTTTTTGTTCTCTTAAGTGCTCTGTGCCGTACCAGGAGCAATCCTAAACCCAAATTAAAATCTTTACTTAGGAGCAAAGGGGTGTTTGCCTGTTTTTGCCAAGTAGACCTGATGGTATAGTTGTCCTGTTTCACATAGTTATTCCACTCCTCCATCTTTTTAGGGTATGAAATATAGACTAGTAAAATGCTTGCTAAAGATTTTCGTTGGTTAAGGAAAGTGCCCCACTCATAAATACATATATAAATGCAAATATAGGCAAGATGAGATAAATTGAGGGAAACCCTTGCTATGCATGTTTTTGTTTTCTACGTAATCCCTTGAAATAAATGCAATGTATTTACTGTTTACATCACGTGGTATTAGACTGTCTTTTAATCCTCTAAATGTATGTCGAAATAAATGGGATGTATGAACATCTACCCTCTTACAAGCTAAGATCTATGTTTCAATAACTTTTTCTTGCAGTGATAGTTAAAATTCATGCTCCCTGAAGCTGTATGTCTTCAGAGCAATCTGACAGCTTGTCTTTGAGTAACTTGCACTCTTTTTCTGTTGTTGAATTGGGTATTTGTAGTGTTCGTGTTCATAGGAGTTCACCTGTACAAAAGGTGTTAGCTTTAAGAACACAAAAATGTAGCTTACTGTTACTAAAGCAGTACTCTAAATGCACAGAAAACACAAATTTGTGGACAGACTTTGGTTGTGTCTTGCACTTGTATATGGATATTACTGAATAAGATTAAAAAATCATTCAAGAAAACATGTTGGGTTTGTAGCAGCCAAAATAACATGTTTGTTAATAGTACATAGATATAATTCCTATCCACAAAATGTCCTGCTCAGGTTATGTTAATGTAAACATTTCCTGGTGATAAGCTCTGAAAATTTGGCTATCATGTAGAACATGTTAGATACTTAATCTGAGTTGTATTACTGTTTGATTGTTATTTCTGAGGGCCATTCTATTAGTCATTGCTGTAACATAAGGAAGTCAACCAGTATATGCAAGCTTAATTTTAGTTTAACTGATTTGAGTATTTTATAGATGAAGGCACATAATTTTATGTTCAGTTCTTAAACTTCTGCCATAGATATTTTATTTTCTTATTTTGTATTTACTTTTATGCTGTCTCTCAAAGGGAAAGAAAAGAGGCAGTTTCCGTTTCTGACTTATTCTGCAATGTAATGGCTTCTTGCCAGAAAAAAAATCTTTTTTTGTGATATAGGACAGAGAGATCCTTTCCCCCATTCCAATTACCTTTGCACTTATCTTGGCAGTATTAACATATTCAGCTATAAATTTTTTTGCAAACTAGCTAGTATATTAGGTATCGCTAGCGTTTTAATTTGCTATCCTAGAAGAATAGTAGTGAGCTATATTAACTTCATCAGAGTTCTGGAATTTGACTGCTTCAGGTAATATATATACTTTGGATAGCAAAATAAATAAAACCTAAAGTACACCTAAAGCTAAATGGTATTATGAAATATTGCTTCGTTGTCCTTTCTTAACTTGTCCATCAGACTTCTGTCTTGAGTTTCAGAACTGAAAACTGGCATGCCTTTTAGGTTCTTCTAGTAGGTTGTAAAGGCATACTGCTCTTTTTTTTTCTCTGCTTTCAGGACAGTGTTATTTAACGAATGCTTACTAAGCATGAAATAGTGTTATTGAGGAAATATTTGGTCTTACTAGTTATTCTGTGATAAGGCTATTTCTGTTGTATTTGCAACAATTAGCACAATAACATTTTACTCTGTTCTTCTCTATAGCTCTATAGTGAGGTTCTCTATTGCTCACCACAAGTTTTCCAACAATGTACAATAAAACTTAAAGCAGTTCCTCTCTCCCCCATTTTAAAATTTCCTAGCTGCAATTCTGTTGACATTTGAGATAAATTCAACATCTCGTGTTTTTCAGGTATGTAGTGGCACTTCATTTCTATTTGATCATTTGCTTACCACAGTTTGACCCTTCTTATCTTTCAAAGTGAACCCTTATGTTAAAAGTTGAACTACAACCTGATAAGCAATAATGCACACTACTTTCTGATCAACAATTCTGTTTACTTACAATACACAAAGCAACGTTTGTATTAAGACTTGTGTCATAAAAAGCTACTTTCCTTATAAACAATGTTTTTAATAGTAGGTTCAATCAATTCATGACTTTCACACAAAAGAGGTTATTCTGTTTAGCATGTTCTATGGCTGTGCAGTGAGCTACAGAAACGTAACTGAGATCTGTAAGAGAGATAACTTTTGCTACACAAAAGCAAGAATATATGAAAAATAGGTGAATGTTTCAGTCTTTTTTTTTTTTGTGATTTTTCTGTGGCTAGACAGGGTCGGTTAGCATGTATGTGAGGAAAAAGTAGGTTATTCATCAACTGAACTCAATTCTTAGCAGTTGTGAAATTCTGATTTTTAATTAAATTCTGATTTTAATTAAATTCCTTGCTAATGACCACTTCTCAAGTCCTAAAATGAAATATACGAATAGACACTCTATTAAGGACTGTATTACTGATAATGCCAGCATTTTTTTTTAACCAATTCAGTCTCCTTGGTGACATGAAATCAACTTTTCTTAGTAAACCAATACCGTAGACTCCTCTTGGAAGCAGCCAAGGTATAGCCATGAATGATAATGCCTGTGTTAGAGAATTTTTCCTAAGATTGGAACTAAAGATGATTGTCATTGCAGAAGACTAATTGCTTAAACAGTAAAGCAGAGATGTTACTAGCTTTCTGTCTTGGGTTACAGTTCCATGAGATGCAGCAAATATCTCACTTGTCAAAAGGAAAGGTGTTCGGTTCCCTACGCCAGCCTTTTTTTTCCCTAGCTTTCTGGTACTGCCATGTGTTTCGTGACTGGTGTTTGTCATGTTCTTCTCTGAGCTAATCTAAATTATTAACCCACTGAAACAACAATAACAAAAAATAGGTAGACTTTTGCCAGGGAGCTAAAATCAGTTCATTAAGAGGGTCAGGAGAAGAAAGGTTGAAGTGAGACTTCCCCTTATTCACCCAGCTATGTATCTTATTCACTCAAGGATGAGCTATTATTTTATTAGCAAGCAGTCAATTTTATAGTTATCCATGAAACTACTTAGAGATGAAACTGAATTTTATTAATCACTAACATTGTTAGGGAGTCCATTCTGCTAATCTTATTAGTCACTCAGTGGCAGGCTGTTCTGTCTTCATCAGCCCTATTGTACAAAAGCTGCAGAAGAAAATTCTCTAGCATGTTACCTAACATAGTAATTCTGTGGGTAATTTCCAAACAGTTTTACATCTATATTGGAAAACTCCCATCTTCTTTTTTGAGTCTTGTAAAGAGAAAGGATTATTTTTTATTTTTTATTTCAAAAAATCTAAATATGATTAGGTACTGTAAGTTAGGCTTGAGAAGCCTGAGATGAAGAAAAATACTTCCGTAGCTGCTCTTAAGTCTGTGAAAGCAGTTTTGAATCTCCTGCGTGCTTAAAATTATATTGGTACTGTTAGGTGCTACAAAAGTAGCTTCCTTTTGAATGAATGCAGTATACCCTGTGTTACAGTAAAGAAGACTTTGAAGTCTCAGAACAGAAGTAACTAATGATCTAGATAATGAAAGCAGTATCAGGAGGAAAAACTCTTCTAGTGCAATATTGTTTTGTTTAGAGGTATTAAGAACAACTCTAAACCTTGTTCAGGGGCTAATAAAAATAGATTAGGAAATATACAAAGAAATTCACTGCAGTTTTTTTTTACTTTTAGGAATATTATCCCCAAATAGGATTTCTACAGTTTGAGCCCTGTTACGTGTTGCTTTTTTGAAGTGGCTCTTTGGTCTTCCAAATAATACCCTTAGCTTCAGAGGCAAGTAATTGCTTGGATATATTTGAAATGAGCTTGTAGCAGTCTTTTGGGTGGGAGGCAGGAGACAGCAGAATGAGAAGGGGTTGCGCTTAGGTTTCCATTAGAACAGTTTTCTCTCCTCTTTCTATTAAAGCTTAGATGTTCTGAGAAGTCTTTGGACTTCATCGGTTATTGGCAGTCATAGTTCACGTTGTGTTCTTAGTCTGAAAGATTTGCAGTCATTCAAAATTCATTTGTTCAATTAAGTGTTTTTAATGGAGTAGGCAGAATGTTTGATAAGCGATTCTGCGGGGTTTTTTGTTTGACTATAGCATAATCTTCTTACTGCATGCATCTTCCTTTCCTTGTATTCTGTTCTCAGCTCCTTATTCCCATCTAGTAAGATTACTTCACCTAGACTACATGTTATTTTTCAATTTTCTGATGTCCGGAGTATGAACAACCACAAAAAAAAAACTGTAAAAAGATTTGTTTTCTCTTGATTGAAACTTTGAGAAACCTATGGAAAGTAGGTGGTGGGTAAGATAACTCTTTACACTTAAAATAATGGGGTGCGTGAGTGTGTAAACTTGACATAAAATTGATTTTAAAAACTTTGATTATTAAGTTTATTTACCTTTTTTCCCCCTTCTTCTCTCTTAGTCTCAGACTATGAACTACGTAGGACAACTTGCAGGACAAGTGCTGGTTACTGTGAAGGAGCTGTACAAAGGTATTAATCAGGCCACCCTTTCAGGATGCATTGATGTCATTGTGGTCCGGCAACAGGATGGTACATACCAGTGTTCTCCTTTTCATGTCCGATTTGGGAAGCTTGGTGTACTGCGCTCTAAAGAAAAAGTGGTAAGTTCAGAAAGCGAGCCAAGCCAAAGTTTTGGACACCAATGCATTCCTTTATTTCCGCTCCCCCCTTTCCTTCTTTTCCCAGCCCCCCACATACCCAGTTAGCAGGCTAATTTAGTACAGAGCAGTTTCTCATACATGACGTATAGAGTGATAGTTTTGGAATATAAAACAGAACTTCCTGTGTTAATCTAAGGACTCTGCAAAACAAAAATACTGTGAAAGAAAAGTTTTGACAGCTCTTGAGCTGTGCAAAAAGAATAGTACAAACATAGAGACTTCACTGTCTTAAAATGTTTACATTGCTATTTATTTAAGTATGCTGGGAAAGAAATGCTTAGTGCCAATTAACTGATCCCTGATGTTGCAAGCATCTCTTTGGAATATCTGGAGGACAGCTAGGGCATATCTTAAGGGTTGGTGACCTATCATAAATATTGTTCCTTGCTAGCTCTGCTCAAGGTTGATATGCAGTAGAAAATGCAGTTATTAATATCCACAAGCATTCCTGTGTGGGCATGTTTGAAAGAGAACCTGATACATATCCTTGTCCAGTCAGTCTGAGACTGTAGCACTACCTGACCAGATTGTCCTGCCATCCCCTTTCCATAGGCTTTAGTACTCATGCTTAGGGAGTGAGTTGGAATGGACTGTAAATATGATGGAAAAATAGACCTATTGTGGGGAGGCGACTTTACGTTACTGTCAGTAGGGAGTACTGTGTATGACAGTATTGCCTGTGGGTGTGCTATCCAAGGATGGATTGATTTAAACAGATCATAAATCCTCAGGATTATATGTGGCTTTTCACAGAAGTGACAGAACACTTCAGGAAACTGCCCTCATCTTTATATCTCGGTTGTAAAAGGAGACTAAAGTGCAACTAAAAGAGTGGTTATGTCACGGCCTGTTTTTGTTTACGGTCCATACTGAGAGCTACATGTACTAAACTTTTAAGTTTATCATAATAACACAGGCTAGCAGCAGTTTTCTTGTCTCTTTTTTTTTTTAATTTTGATTTCCCACTTGCTAGTGTTTTTCTTAATGAGCATGCTGATAACAGTTTAAGTACTTTTTTATGAGAATAAAAACCTTCTTCCTCTGGTGAAAAAGGTATGGTTGCAGAAGGGTTGTGGTCCTATGTCATATCCCCATAAATTTACCAGGAGGTAAATAACTGGGTTAACTGAGTTGCAAAAATAATTGTGGCAAATCTCTATTCCCTTGAAACAAACCCTGCCTCCAGCAGAATTCTGGTTTCTCATCTTAAACTTTTGGTATTCAGGATTCATATTCATACCAGGCCTCAGTTCAGGTTGAGCTTTAAATATGTGAACATGAACAGTCTCAATCATTCTTCCCAGAAATAAAGACTAGATGAATGATTATTATTTATGCTTCTAGCTCTCCAAATTAGTTGAACAGGGTTCAGTCTTCAGATTTATTTTTTTTTGCAGGTGTTAGGCTGTCTGCTTAGGAGCTGATGTATTTTGCAGATTAAGAAAATAAAGACGATTATAATAACAGACTTCTTTCAAAAAGCAGAGGAAGGAGAAAGAGGCATGATAATACAGTGGAACAAAGTTTACTCTGAGATAAGTGGGCCTTAAGGTCAGTGCTTTCCCTTATGATGGATTATTTGCATTAAATTGTCTTCTTCCACAGATTGATATAGAAATTAATGGTGATGCTGTTGATCTTCATATGAAACTGGGTGACAATGGAGAAGCTTTCTTTGTACAAGAAACTGAGGAAGAAAATGTAAGTGCTTCGTGATGGCTACAATGCAATATTAACAGAGGAATGTGTTAATTATTAATATAGTGTTGCCAATATTGTAACTTTTATGAAAGCTAGATATTCTGTGACTGAATCTTAACATCACTTTCACATGCTGCAAGATGCTTGGTGCCTTGTACAATTCTGCTACCAATGGTAACAAAGTAACTATTTTTTTTAAGAGCTTTTTTTGAAAGATCTGTTGCATTTTATTTTATTTTTTACTTTGTAGTAAATTTGTTCTCGTTGACTGCAGTTGTACATATTGCAGTGCCTTATAATAGTGTTTGCCTCAGGTTCTTATAGCTTGTGCTACTGATTGCTGTACTAATAAAAGTTGTCTATTTTGGCATATTTTTAATTTGTCTTATTTTTAGCACCATTTCTAACAATTTTATTTATGAAATCTTCTTCAGTAACTTCTTCAATTTGAGAATTATTCTTGTATTATAGTACAGTAATTAATTTCCCAAGAACCTATTGCAGCTGGAAGCCCTTGAAAAACAGAAATAACGGTTCATTTTCACTCTGATTTCTTAAGGATATGGGACCTATGAAATCACAATATTTGTCAGTCCTGAGCTTTGATTTTGACAGCTTTTGAATCTATTGGCATAGTTCAGCAAGACAGAAGGAAAGAAATACTCAATAGAGAGTTACAAACAGTTTAATGAAAATAGAAGAGAGAAGAAAAAACTTTGTCTCAGTGAAGTAAAAGATGAAGTGCCAGCTTCCTGTTGTTACTAGGAATCAAAATCCTTTAAGGAAGTGAGCTTGATCCACTTTTTAGTTTAGGGTGCTACTTGTTTACCATGAAGGATTGGTGGAAGCTCACTTGTTGAAAGGAGTTAAATATAATTTGAAGTGGAAGGTGAAAATAAGCATTAAGACTCTAAATGGTAACTTAGGATAGGGATTCATAACATTTAAGAGAAAGGAAGATTGGGTTCTGTTTTAGCATACCTCATGATTAAAATCAAAACTGAAAGCAGTGTCAGCCATTAAGTCTTAAGACTTTCAGAAAGAAGAGTGATAAACACTACCTTTGTCCCCAGTGTGATGTTTTAAAGTAACTATTGCACTTGCTTAGTATATTTTGATTTGTAACAAGAGTGTATAATGTGATCTGGAAAGCTTGTAGTTCATGCCAAAACTAGATAGCTACAAAGCGGAGGACTGATTTGTATTTAGTGCTTCTAGACATTTTTTTTCCCACTCAGTATTTCTGGTACTGATCCGTGTGTATATTATGTATATATATAAAGTATATATATATATATATATATATATATATATATTTATATATATAAAGTATATATATAAAGTATATATATAAAGTATATTAAGGTATAAATGTTAAAGCTGTCACTAGTTCCTGATTGCTTCAGAAAAGTGCTTTCAGGTGGTCAGTCTTTGCTGTTTTCACATCTTGATGACATTCAGAAGTAACACCACACGCCCCAATTAATGCAAATTGGGACTATTACAATGTACTTCCAGGCATCTTTTGTTTTTTGCCAGCTTTCTTTTAACTTTTCTGTGACTTTTTTAGATTTTCTCTTGTTATTCTGGCTTATTTGTCACTAATTGTGTATAATACTAACTTTATGTGCTATAATTTTATTTGAAGGTTTTCACCGTGCAAAATCCCTGTGTGTCATTGGTGCTGTATAAGGCTGTATTTTGCTCTCCTTTCTCCATTTCTCTCTCCTACCAGTTGGAAAAAAACTTGTGTGTAACTCAACTCAGTGGAAAAATTGAATTTAATATTAAATAAAAGCAGTTAAGACTTTGAACACATTAAAAGTAGGATCAGTGCTTTGACTGTTTCTGATCACAGTGTAGTTCCTGAATAATCTGCAAAAGAGTCCTGTAAAATAACAGGCATCTTGTAATTAGTTCTGTTCTTACCATGAAATCGAGCTCCATAACCTTTTCTCATTTTCCTCGCTATGCACATTCCATTCTCTTCTACTTTTGTTCCACTTTGTCTCTTCTCAGTGAGTTTCCTTCAGTTTAGGTGTCAGTATCTTAAGTTTCTTGTTTTGATGTAAATAAACCGTGGGCAGTCCAGTGGTAAAGTTTTTCCTTCATTTGAATTAGTCCTTCAGGTAACTGAAGGTTATTTGTTGATTTTTTTTAAGGTAAGTTATAGTTGAGTTTTTATTTTGGAAAGATGCTTTACATAAATAATGTCTGACATGGATGACAAGGCTGACTGCACCTTCACCAGTTTTATGAGTAACACTGAACTAGGAGAAGAGGTAGACAGGTCAGAAAGGGCCATTGCATAGGGCCAACTTGGCAGTCTGGAAGACTAGACCAACAAGATTCATTCAGAGTTTAACCGACATACGTGTGAAGTCTTGCATCTGATTTGGAAGAATCCCACGCAGCAGTACAGGCTGGGGTCCGACTGGATGAAATACATCTCTGCTGTAAAGGCTGTCACTGTGGCAACAATGAAGGCAAATGTGTCCTAGGCTGCATTATCAGGGGTACAACCAGCAGATGGAGGGATGTGGGATTGTTCCACTCACCCTAGAATATGTCAGGGCAAACCTGGAACACAGCTCTGATCTACCAAGATCTGGTCTCCCCAGTTCAGGAAAGACATGGAAAATTGGAGGGAGTCCAGTGGCGAGCCACAAAGATTATCAGAGTGTTGGAGAAGAAAAGCTGCTGAACTTGGCTGTCTTCAGCCTAGGGAAGATCTAACCAGTCTTGCAATACCTACAAGGTAGTTACAGGGCAGACAGGCACTCTCTCACAAGGATGCCTGGTGATAAGACAAGGGACAAAAGGGGGGAATTCCAGCTACATGTAGGAAAAATCCTTCACTGTAAGAACAAGACAGGAATAGGTTGCCTAGGTAAGTGGTGGACTCTCCCTTACTAGAAATACTCGACCTTTGGCTTGACAAGGCCCTGAATAACCTAATCTGTGGCCGTACTTTCAGCTAAAGATTGGACCAGATATGTTTCAGATGTCCCTCCCAACCTATACCTTTCTATGAATCTGTTTCAAATTAAACAGACAGCAGTGGATTAGCCTATTTTTATTACACCTTTACTAAGCATGGATAGGACTGGTGTGCTCGAGGGTAGATAATTTCAGAAACATTCCACTGACTAGGTATTTTTTTTTGCTAATAAAATCAGTTGTTTATGTCTGAAACTGTAAGAATACTAATATTTTTCTGATTTTTTTTTTTGTAATCCATCTAGTGAACTTGGTTCCTTTCTGGATATCAGCTTCATACCACTGGGCTTGTGTGGTTTTTGTGTCTAAATATAGATGCAAGAATTAATACGTAGCTGACAACTGTCCGGTATGCACAAAACAAACCAAAAAATTAAAAACCACAAACAAAACTTATTTTCGTTATTTGTTTAGGAAAAAGTTCCTGCTTATTTGGCAACATCTCCAATACCCACTGAAGACCAGTTTTTTAAAGACACTGACAGTCATTTGAAATCGGGGGAAAATGAGAGGACATGTGCAAACTCTGAAATTCCACACTCTGTGGAAACAGAGATAGTATTCACCCCAGGTTCTGTGAAAAAGAAAAAAAGAAGAAGAAAGAAATACAAACAAGATAGCAGGAAGGAAGATCAGATATCTTCTGCTGGGACGGAAGAGATTTTTGAAATGGAAATAAGCTCTGATGATGAAAAAAGTGTTCAACCCATAAGGTAAACTATCAGATACTTGCTGACTGCTTTCAGTGTTATCACTGAACATTTAGAATGTGACTTGTACCTTTCCTCTACGCGAGTAATGCATGTTTCAGTGGGCTCAAACAAACAACTCCAGATCATTAGCTTCCAGATCTTTCAGAATCCTTCAAGTTTTGTCATTTTGTTATGAATATGAAATCCAGTTAACCCCATTCTGGTAGAGAAGTGTTTTCTCTCCTTCAGTATGGGTCTTCAAGGAAGTCTTAAATTTAATAAGTACCAAATACATTAATGCAACAAAAACATTGAATCAGAGTGTTACCACATCTGTGACCAGTAAAACACAACAGAGAAAATTTGGATTTTAAAGTGTTTTTTTCATATGTCTTGTGGCTTCTTAGTTTATTTGCCTTATTTGTTTATTGTCATTTTAATGTCAGTGAATTGTCACTTAGATATTCACTGCTCTGTTTAAGTCTGGGACTGGGAATTTTGCTTAGTTTGAGATTTTTCCTTTTTTCTCTTTAAGAAAAGCAAGGTCTTTGTTCAGCCTTCAGTGTTAAGAGTATCAAGACAACAATAAGTTGTCATAGTGAAATGTCAAAAAATAAAAATAACCATCAAGTACAGGAAGAAAGAAAATATAATCCATGAATTGTTTATTCTTTAATAAATTATTACAAATGCATAAAGAATTCAGGAGTGTCACCCTAATAATGGCTGTTTTCATCCAGTGTTTAGAATGCGAACTACTGTTCTAGCAATTATCTTAATTTGACTAAAGATGAATAAAAATTGTAGGTTTGATTGAAATGTCAAATGTTTAGTCATAGCTGAACAGACATGGTGTTTCCGTAAAGGTTACTCTGGTTTTATATTTTGTGCCCTTTAGAATTAAAGATTGAAAAGGCTTTTTATTTGTAAGCCACATTTTTTTTTTTTGCATATCTGTATAAACAGAAACAGCAGTAGAAATGCATCCTCAGTCAGAGGAGAGTGTTGTGATTTGAAAGGAAGACCATTTTTGTAAAAGAATGCTGTTTTTTTTGTCACTAGCAAGAAGTGAAAAAAATGCATTGTAGTAATGGAAGCCCAGGGACAGTACATTTGTGGCTATGTATGTGTTGGTGGAGTTTGTATACAGCCAAAATATTGGGTACCACGGCAAGAAATAAAATACCTTGCAATAGGAGTACACTTTTTTCCGAAGGTTTATTTTTGCATCCTGTGGGGATGTAAGGTGATATTAGCAGGTTTGTTTGGGTTTAGGTTTTCTCTTAGCTATAAATGTATGGCTCTGCAAAAGAAAAAAGAGAATATGGAAGCGTAACTAACTGTTACTAGATGTAGCTTCAGATTTCAAAGGGAGTCTGGTAAAGGGAGGCTGATGTTCTAGCGGAAGGTCAAAAATTCAGCCACAGGTACCAGCATAAAATGTCTTATCTAGTTCTGTTCTCATAGAAAACAAGCTGTTTCCCGTTCCTTGGGAAAATCCCTTTCGAAGTGTTTATTTAGCTTTTTAAAAAACATGTCCTTTGTAGTTCCTAGCTTTGATTTAGTTATGTGAGTGGTGCTTGACTTACCAGGAGGACTGAGATTGCAGAGCGTACAACTCAGAAACTGAGGGTATTACTTCTCAGGGCTAAGACTGTTAAAGTAGCGATCTGTCTCTAAAATTTTACATGTTTATTTAGACCATGTATAAAGTGGGTAAAGATGAGAAATGATAGTACTGTTTATAAATGTTGCAAAGTAAATAGCTTAGAATTGATAATGGGACTGGAAGTTGTAAGTTGATACATACTGATTTTCTGTTCTTATTGTCAATGATCTTTGACTGCATTTGGATTTTTTAACCTTCAGATTCATTCACTTATGGATGAAATATGCTGGTTTTGATGCTTCATGTGAACTCATTTGGTTCACATGTGAATAAAATCTCTTCAGTACTACCTGTGTGTCATCTTGCTCCCCCTGAAGTGGTGGTATTGAGAATCTCTCTGTAATAATTTTTTCTGTGTTTATTTAATTGTTCACTAATACCGCTTTCTTTTGGAGATAGCACTGTGTACAGACAAACATAGTATGAAGTATTTTTGTCATAGCTTGGTTTACAAATACAAAGGACATGCAGTCTCTGCAGCTCACATCACAAGTCAAGATGTCATCCCCAAGTTTCATAATACTACTACTGACTAAGAAGCTATTAAGACATTTTCAGAGTTCAGTATTTAATACAGTCTAAACTGTCTTGCAAATGAAAGATTTGTGCAGATGAGGTGCTCCTTTAACTGCTTGGGGTTTAATGGGCTGTACCGAGTAAGCATGCAAATTCCAAATGTTTACATAGTTTAATAAATGTCTTGGTTTTGCCTGGGATAGTCAGTTTTCTTCCTAGTAGTTGGTACAGTGCTGTATTTTGCATGTAAGAATAATGTTGGTAACACACTGGTGTGTTAGTTGTTGCTAAGCAGTACTTAGTCAAGGACTTTTCAGATTTCCATTCTCTGCCCAGTAAGGAGGGGAACAAGAAGCCATGAGGGAGCATAGCCAGGATGGCTGACCTGAACCGGCCAGAGGGTATTTCCATACCATAGAACATCATGCTCAGTATATATAAACTGGGGGGAGCGGGCTCCAAGGTGCCGGTATTGGTCAGCAGTTGGTGAGCAGTAGTACTGTGCATCATTTGTCTTTTTGGGGATTTATTCCTCTCTCTCATTTTCCCATTATTATTTGCCTGGGAAAGAGTGGCTGGAAAGCTGCTTGGCAGAAAAGGACATGGGGGTGCTGGACAGTGGCTAAACATAAGCCAAGAGTGTGCCCAAGTGGCCAAGAAGGCCAACAGCCTGTATCAGGAATAGTATGGCCAACAGGGCCAGGGCAGTGGTCATCCCCCTGTACTGGGTACTGGTGAGGCTGCACCTTGAATCCTGTGTTCAGTTCTGGGCTCCTCACTACAAGAGAGGTACGGAGGTGCTGGAGTGGATCCAGAGGCCAGCGAAGCTGGTGAATGTTCTGGAGAATAAGTCTGATGAGGAATGTCTGAGAGAACTGAGTTTGTTTAGTCTGGAGAAGGCTCAGGGGGCACCTTATCACTCTACAACTACTTGAAAGGAGGGTAGAGAAAGGAGCTGGCTGGTCTCTTTTCCAAGGTAACAGGCCATAGGACAAGAGGTAACAGCCTCAAGCTGCGCCAGGGGAGGCTGAGATTGGGTATTAGGAAAAATTTCTTCACAGAAAGAGGGTGATCAGGCATTGGAAGAGGCTGCCCAGGGAAGTGGTGGAATCACTCCCTGGCAGTATTCAAAAAATGTGTAGATGAGGCCTGTAGTGACGTTGTTTAGTGGTGGTCTTGGCAGTCCTGGGGTAAAGGTTGGACCTGATGATCTTAAAGTTCTTTTCCAACCTAGTTGATTCTGTGACTGTAGTAGTTTATTTCAATTATTAAACTGTTCTTAATCCAATGGATTGCAATTCTGCTCCCCATCCCACTGAGAGAGGCCTCAGGAGGGGAAAGTGAGTGAGCAGCTGCATAGTACTTAGTTGCCAGCTGGGGTTAAGCCGCAACAATAGGTAATGTTAAAATCTTTTCTCCATCCATGAGAGAAATTAGTGTTACCATTCCAAAACAAGTCCAGTGCAACTGTATTGTTAATGAAAGAAAAATACTTTTTTTTTCTTAATGGCTTAAAATAACGTGTATTGCATTTTAGACTCAAATTCCAGGCTTATCTTCCTTGTATTGTATCCACTGTATATGCATGATGCCCTTGATCTAACCTCAAAACGAGTTGTATCCTGAGAATAGCTATTTACTGAATTAGATCCAGAAAGCTGTAAAAAGATCTGGAGTACTTGTGATGGTAATATTCAGAAGGGACTTCTTTGTAAAATAGAGTGCATGCATGCTCAGTGTGTTTTGCTGTTCATTGGTTTGGTTTGGTGTTTTCTTCTGTTATTGAGTAGACTTCCCAGTGCAAAACAAACCCCACTGTTCAGAAAAGTGCAGTGCTTCTAGATACCTGTAGTTCATGTTAATTTGTAAATTCTTGTGTAAATTCTGAGGCTAGTACCTCAAAAGAGGTACTAGAAAGGTTATGTGTAAATCTGTATGTTCATCTTTGGCTTTTAGTAATATTAGCTTCCTATATAATGTAACATCATTTATGCTGTTTTGACTTCTTTGATACTAAATTACTATGTGTCAAGAGTAATAGTTTTTTGAAGTTGCAGTAATTCAAGTATTAATAGTTTCTATAAGCATTTTATGTTATATAAAGGTGTGTTGCAAACAATTCTTGAAGCTATATGCTTTTTATCTCTGATTTTTAATAACATAGGTAACTTTTCTAACTGAATTAGTAATGCATATTTCTTACAGCTGACTTAATATCTTGTGTATCTTCACAGAGGATCCTCAAATTCATCGCCAAAGGGTGAAGAACAAAAAGAATCTTTGATTTACCACTCGAAGGATCATTACCCATTATCTGATGGAGACTGGTCCCCTCGGGAGAAGTAAGTCACTTTGCAATTTCATCATAGTGTAATGGTGAATAATTATTTAAAAAAAAATGTGCCTTGTATTTAATTCCACCCCGATATATAAAACTATCAAACATGCCTAACTTTTGTGATGTCAAGTGCAGCATCTGATATTTACTCTCAACTTTGGGAACTTTTGCTCTACTGTATGTATTAAAAAATATTTGTGTCTTTTGTTTTTTCCCTCAAATGGAGAAAAGAAACTCTGTTCATGTTAAAATTCATTATTAAAGAAAGAAAATAGAGTTAATAAGATTTCCTTAGGGTGAGAAGTGTATGAAAAATTACTGTGTTCCCTGTGATTCACTCTTTACCCTAGCATAAGCAACACTTGATGTGCCGTAAAGAAGTGTTGAGTATGTAAGATTTTTGCCAGGTGAAGTAATGCAGATTACTTGAGGTAAAGCTGGGTGCTAACTTGAATCATATTCCACTTCAGATCAGGGGATTTGCTACTTACTGGAGTTCTGTACTGTTCTGATAAATCAGGTTAGTTGATTGTGGATTTCCACAAATGACATAATACAGCTCACCAGTCAGTTTTCAATTACAGTGACTATAGCATTTCTTTTTATACATTCAAGCTCTTTAGTTTCTGATGTTCATTTTATTATATTCCTCGTCAGTTTCCAGATTTTTTAAGGCTTACCCTTTGGATTTCACCACTCTAACATCAGTCTCTATTTGTATAAGGAAGCATTCTGTCCATATGCAGTAGCACTTGAGATAAATTTTGTACTTTTCCTTAACCTTGGACATAGGGAAGAACATACATACAGCACATAACATGATGAGCAGTATCTTGATTCATCTTAACTCTTTAATTAGTGTCTAGTTTTACTGCTTTTCAGTTTGGCTGAGGAATCCGCCTCGTAGCAGATTCATTCACAGTGCCAGTGAGGGTTACTGCTCAGCCCTGTGTGATAGCCATTGCTGCAGTTAGCTACACAGTGCACAGGTACCTGTCCCTTTGTATCAGTAGTTGGTAGTTCAGAATAGAAGAGATGAACCTTCAGAAAATACTTTTTAAAGTGCTTATATTCTCTCTGCTTTGGGTGTTTCTGAGACACTGTTCTCAGTAGAGTCTGAATGTACCATACCATGCTTGGTGCCTGCTAATTGCCCCAGTGCATAACTTGTTAATGAGCAGAAGCAGTTGGACAGGAAATCCCATTATTGTTCTTGTGTATGTTTTTGGGTTAACAACCACATCCTCAATTGTACTTGATGAGATGTAGTCTTCAGATGTTCCCCAAAGGTTTGTGGTTTGTGACTGAAAAGCAGTCAACAGTGTTTGACCCTGAGGATTGACACGGATGTTGTGTGGATTATATCACCTAGATAACTGTAGCTTAGAGGCTGATATTCCTTTTTAGTTTATAAAACTCTAGCTGACGTAGGCTAGTAGGCTACAACTGGGAGATATGATTCATGTCTTTCTTCTTGTTTACGTATTTAGGGGATAGTCTGTCCTAACAACTTGTGCATCATGTGAGATACCTCAGCTCTTTATAGTTTGAGGTTTGTGGGTTTTTTGTTTGTTTGTTTTAACAAGAAGCTATGTGGTACAGATTGCAGTACCACAGAGAACTTGGCAATTTTCCTTTCCCTCTTCAGGGAGGGTGGTTGGGTGTGGGATTGTCTCTTACACGAGCCATCTAGGAGAAGAGAAATTTTGTATGAAATTATTTCTCCGAAGCCACCAAAGAAAGATTGTACAATGTAGCCATTGTGCAGTGAAAGAGAAATGGGAGGTTTTAATAACCTCTTTTTTGGGGATCTGGAAAAGTTAACTGACTTGAGGTTGGTTGTCTTGCTCTTCAGAACCCTTGCAGGGAGCTACAGGAAAGATAATAGACTAGGTCTTTTCAATGAGAACACTTCTGTTTGTCCTACCCAAGTCAAAAGCATAACTATCAATTATTTGATACCTGATAACATCAGTGTTCTTCCTGTTTTAACAAGCAGTGTTAGCATGACTAGGTCATTATCACAAGTATGGACCTTTTGACTAAAGACTTCTCCTTGAGAATGATAATGGAAGACTTATGCTTTGGGGGAAGTGGAACAGGCAGGTTCTGTATTCAAACTTTTGCAGGTGCTGCTGAATATTAAGAATTAGGCTTAGAAACAGGTTAATATTTTTGCATGGCTTCCAATTGACTTGTGATATAGGCCGAAGAAATTATTTGGCACGTAGGGAAAATGAGTTCATATTCTGTCTGAAAACAAATAAATACATGTATTTTCATCAGTGTGTTTCTTTAAGCCCTTCTAACAGTACAGAAAAAGTAATGTCTGTAGGATATTGTTTAAAGAAAACTGAAGGGGATAAATCTCTAAATCATTTCCTTTTTGTTTCCGTGGGTGATGAGTGCTGGAAGTTGACAGTAAGATGATGAATCACCACTGTAGAAATGCTTAAATCTCCTGCTATCTTGGATTTTTTGGTGTCCCTCAGTAATAGGAGGGATTCTTAATATCTGAATTGTGATCTGTTTAGTCTCATAGGATACTGCAAAAGCCCTGGCTCTGCAAACCTCCAGGAAATTTTAGATATGATACTGTATTAGATAACTAATTCCTGTAGGAATTTTGAAAGGAAATAAAAAAGAAATCCATAAATTAAATATCTGCAGGGGTTACTGAATATGAGTCAGCAGAGTGCTGCTGCAGCAACAAAAGCAAATGGGATCCTGCACTGCATCTGCAGGGCTGTTAGTAGCAGATGGAGATGTGATCATCCCACACTACTCTGTGTTGGTTAAACCACACCTGGAGTGCTGTGTCCAGTTCTAGTCCCTACAATTTAATTTAAATACTGAGGTTTATATACACATTTAAACCAAAATAAAATAAGCAAACCCTAAACAACCCAGAATATGCTATGAGTGTCAAAATGTAAAAAGAGTGGCATTTTTGTAGTATGCAGTGTAATTGCCCTGTTAAAGGATAAACTCAGAGGTGTCTCAACACTAAATGCTACTTCAAAACACCAACCTCTTGTGTTTCCTGCTGAACCCAGGACACTCCCTAAGATCATAAGAGCAAAATGATTTCAAAATCACACCTTTCTAGCATTTTGTAGAGTTCTTTTGCTTAAAAGTAGTCTTGGGTAAAGTAAGTTTCAAACGCCTGTTTCTGTTTATGGATAATCACCACTGTAGGAAAAATAGGGTGGAGTTTAAAAGGTAGCGTAGTCCTGATACATCTGAAGGAAATTGTCAAGTAATCTCCATTCCCTCTCCCGAGTTATCCTGTTGTTTTTCCTGCATAAGGAATTGGTGGTGTTGTGTGCATTTGTGGGTTAGATTTACAGGATTTTTATTAATCAAGTCTCGGCATGCAAAGCTTAAATGCTATATTTTTACAGAGGAAAGAAACTTAAAGCTAATTTCTGTCTTTTAGATAAACTTTTTTGTTTTATTCTGTTTTGTTTGGAAAATGGAACATGGGCTGAGGGGAGAGCTACAGCTACACCGCATATGTAGCGGAGGAATCTGTTTTAGGATGATAGCTATGTAAGTCATTTAATGTGATTTTGGTTTTAACCTATTTTCTTACTGTCTGAAAACCCTGCTGGGCTTCTTGCCATGTTGCCGAATAATTGGAGCTCTGTTAAGCTGTAGAAAACTCTACCAACAGTAGCTGCACAACAAATGCATTTTAAACACTGTGGCGCTTTTTTTTTTCTTGTTCTTGTTGATTTGCTAGCCCTTTCTCTGAGCCAGTCTGCCCGAAAAGTGATTCAGAACTAGAAGTTAAACCTGCTGAGAGCTTGCTCCGATCTGAATCTCACATGGAATGGACATGGGGAGGATTCCCAGAATCGACTAAGGTAAATTTATGTGTTGTTTGTCAATTTGTGAACTAGTTTTGGCATATCTAAAATTGTGTCCAAGGAGAAGTTTGGGAATTCCCTGCCACTGTTTGGAATAATTCAGTTGAAGCAGGAAAGTAGCACCCCCTTGTGGCTGGCACATAGTCGAATTTGTGGAGTTTGAAAGCTGGTCAGCAAATTCCAGAAAAGCTAGGGTAAAAGTCTGACATTTTTGAATTTTTAGTGAGAAATGGCAGAAAGCAACTTTAGAGATTTAAAGTCCTTTGGTTTAGGCTATTTTACAGTTCTTTCCAGAGGAATTGTTGCCTTGATACAGTAAATTTTTATCTAACAGCTGGTGACAGTAGCCCTGGTACATCTACATTTATGCTTGGGATTTTTTTTGTTTGTTTTTTTTTGTTTGTTTGTTTGTTTGTTTGTTTGTTTTTTTGTGTTGGTTATTTTTTGTTGTTTTTGTTTGTTTGTTTTTGTGTGGTTATTTTTGTTTTTTTTTTGCTGTGGTTTGATCATGTCAGCGCTTCCCCTATGCCTGTTTCTTTATTTCACTTGTCAATAAGCTAGTATGAAGCTTCTGTTGCAGGGAACTTTGCTGATTACGTGAGGCGTGGTTTATGTTGCTGAAACACGTTTAAATTCTTACCCAGTTTACTTGTCACCAGGACTTGTACCAGGAGTACAAGTTTAATGTTTAGATCAGAATTGTGAATGCTCCATCCCTGGCAGTATTCAAGGCCAGGTTGGACAGAGCAGTGGGTGGCATGGTTTAGTGGGAGGTGTCCCTGCCCATGTGTCGTGGTTTAAACCCAGGACACCATGGCAGGGGGGTTGGAACTAGATGATCTTGAGGTCCTTTCCAACCCTAACTATTCTATGATTCTATGTGAAATGAGAGGATTTGAGTAGAGTTTTGTTTTTCAGATAAGCAAGAAAGAGAAACTGGATCATCCCAGAACAGCTACCATTACTCCATCAGAGAAGACTCATTTTAGGGTCATCCTCAGCTCTGATGAAGTTGAAGATGATGATGATGTGAAAGATTCTGTCTGTACAGTACTGAAACCTGAGCCAAGAACTCATCCTCTGCTTAAGCAGATGGATGTTAAAGATTCTCTTGCTTCTGCAATCACAGAACCACAAGACCCATTTCCGTTGGATGCTGATCATCATTCCAGACTGTTGGTGGACCCTTTACCAGAAACAAAGCCAACAGCAAAAACTGACTCTCCTTCAAAAAAGAAAGGTATATAATAAAGTTGTTGATTCTTTCTTTCAGTGTGATCTACTAAATTTAAGGCCATAGTGGGAAAAATACAAATGTGCCTTTTCAGTTTTTCCTATTTAAACTCTTATCTGATTAAAACTATAATTAAACTCTTGGGTTTATAAATGCTACAAGTAAGTCTCACAATTATCCACAATTATGATTGTATTTAATGTGTCTGTAATGGTAGCTTCATCTGAGTAATCTTAATTGTTGAAATTAACAGGGGTGCACAAACGAAGTCATCATCAGGGGCCTGACGATATTTACTTGGAGGACCTAAAGGCTTTGGAACCTGAAGTTGCAGCACTCTACTTTCCCAAAAGGTAATTTTGAATTAAGGTCCTATGGCTCTGGGGTTATATTGCAGTTGCACAATGTGATTTACTGTTACTTAGGTATCATTTAGGTAGGTATTCATGTCTCATTGTGAAAATTTCTTTCTGATTTGACAAAAAACACATCTAAAGATCATGTATGAAGTCATTACTGAGAGTTTTCATCTTTGTGGAATTTGTATGTTCTGCAAGCGTAGAGGGGGAGTAAGTATAAAGTGCACATTTCATTTGCAGCAGTACTTTTTTTGCTACATTGCTAGCTCTGGATAAGCACACATCAATTTATTTTTTGCATTCCCTGTACATCCCTTCTAACTTTATTTTTTTAATATGAAAAATGTCACAACATGAAAAATCCCACAAGATGTTCATGCAAGGCAGCTCAGTCTCAAAATTCACTCTTGTTTTGTTTGGGTTTTTATAATAAACCGTTTTGTACTGCTAAAATACTCTTAAAAACAATGACTTTTACAAATAACTTTTTCCAAAGGCAGACCTTTTTGAAAATGCAACTTAATAATGAAGGAGTGTCTATTGGTTTATTAAAACTACAATTGTAAGGTTTTCAGCACTTATTACATTACTTGGGATTAAACTAATAACTAATCTTAGATGACTGATTTTTTATTTTTTTTTTAATTTAAAAGGCCACTTGTCTTCTCTGTTGTACGTCTTCAAAACAGAGTGTTCTAAAACATCAAGCAATGTCCTTTTTCCTTTTAGTCTTATTCTGTAGCTTTCTGGTAAATATTGAGGAGCACAGAATGTAAAGGAGCTTTTTGTCCTTCAAATCCAGTTTTGTTTCAGGCAAGAGAAATGTATTTATTTCCCAATTTAAGGGAATGTTAGGGAACTGGAAATTATCACTCTGCCAGTATTATAAAAGTTTGGGGAGGTGTGCTTGTGTCCGGTTTTTGTTTGGTTGGTTTTAAATTTATGTTGCAAAATGGTGTAGCACCCAAAAGAAATGCAGCAGCAAGATTTTTTTCTTTTTTTTTTTTTAAGCAATCCTATACTGTATTCTGTAACTGAAAATCTATGCTTTTAAGTGAAATGTTTAAGAAAAATGTCCACTTCTGTGTTTGTTTTTTAGTGATTCTGATCCAGGCTTCAGACAGTGGACAGAGTCAGATACCCTTTCCGGTTCGCAGTCACCCCAATCAGTAGGAAGTGCCGCTGCTGACAGTGGTACAGAGTGCATGTCTGACTCTGCTATGGACTTGCCTGATGTTACACTATCACTTTGTGGAGGTCTCAGTGAAAATGGAGAGATTTCTAAAGGTATGTGAAAGACTAAAACATAACTAGTAATAAAGCTCAACAAATGAATTGGCTTCAGTGCTTCAATTCAACCTTGCACAGCTTTGGCTTTGTTCTACGCTCATGTTGCGAAAACGGAATGAATAATCTTTCATTTTCTAAAATTCCCAGGAAGAGGTAGCAGAATTTAACCTCAAATTAATCAAGAGCATTTGATGTCTCAAGAAGCTTTTTGGCTCCTTTTTTGCACTACATACTGCTTATCTGACCAACAGTTCTTGTTTCGGGGTGCAGTTACTTCCCAAGTCCTGTATAATTTCTTAAGTCATATTCTTGCTAATTGATAATTTTTCCTCTTTTTTTTTTTTAAAAAAAAAGCAATTAAAAAAGCCTGTTGTACTCTATTTTTTCTATCCTAAATATTTGTTAACCTTTAGATTTTTTTTTACATCTGATGCTTCTTTTTAATGATCTGGTTAATTTTAATACTGAAGTTGTATGCATTATCTTCATTAACATGTATGCAACATTTTTAGTATTACTATTTTTAGGGTCATCCAAGTCTCTAATGCATCAAGTGAAAATTAAATGCTTATTAATAAAAGCTCAGAACAGCTTTCTTGGTAATGTGGTGGTAGTATTGGATTTCTTTGAAAAAAAGTATGTCTTCCTTGTAGGAGTCTTAAACTAAATCATGAATTTCTACAAATTTGCATAGTCAGTAGTCATGAAAATGCTATTAGAATTCAGTGATTAAACAAACCTGAAAAGCTGACAACATCCTTCCCCCTTCTCTTTTAGTGTAGCATGTAGGCCCTCTACCTGCCATAATAATTTTTCAAGCAAGCATGGCTCTCTTTCCAGGCTGTGAATTGAATTAGTTATAAAATCATAGAATAGTTATGGTTGGAAAGGACCTTAAGATAATCTAGTTCCAACCCCCCTGCCATGAGCTGGGACACCTCACACTAAACCATGTCACCCAGGACTCCATCCAACCTGGCCTTGATCAGTGCCAGGGATGGAGCCTTTACAACTTCCTTGGGCAACCCATTCCAGTGCCTCACCACCCTCACAGTAAAGAACTTATATTTAGCCTAAACTTCCCATGTTTAAGTTTGAACCCAAAGTTCAAAGTTAAGTTGCTACCTCATCGTCATCCTGCCTCTTCTAATTTCTTAATTCTCATTACTATGACTGTTGAAGTGGTATGAGGCTTTTCCTCTTAACTAAGGAAGCAGTCAGTCACAAGATTCTTGACAGGCCATGTTAACATATTGGAGTGATATTGCAAGATCAGCAAAGGCTCTGAAATGACAGAAGAATTTTCTAGATACAAATGAATTGGACATCTTGGGATTTTATATTCTAATTTTTAATTAAAATCTGCTTCTATTGCAGAAAAATTCATGGAACATATTATTACTTATCATGAATTTGCTGAAAATCCTGGACTCATAGACAATCCTAATTTGGTAATAAGGATTTATAACAGGTAAATTCTCTGTGTCATGTAATTAGGTCATAGAAGATCTCATTTAAAATCTACCCATTAAAATGAGTAGATGTCTCAGCTTCCGCTGCAGTTTGTGGTTTTCATGGATCTGTTTCTCAGTCTCAAAGTAAATTATTTTGAACTAAATATTCGCATTAAATTTAGTTTTAACTCTGAAGTGAGGGTTTTTTTCAGCAACTGCTACTGCTGTTGATTTGTATATTTTAAAATAACTCTGCTTGCAGAGAGCTTTAATATTAGTCGTTGACAATAAATACTTTTTTTTTTTTTTTCAAAAAAAAAGGGTAGTTTGCATACTGATGTTTATTGACCTTTGGTCAGGTTTTGTAAAATCTTACCAATAACATGTTTTAAAACAGGTATTATAACTGGGCATTGGCTGCTCCAATGATCCTGAGTTTGCAGGTGTTTCAGAAGAGCTTGCCTAAGGTAAGTAGGTACAGGTAAAATTTTAAGTTTCTGTATGTAGTTACACATGATTATCTCTTTGGGATTTTTTTCTATACAAATGAAAAACATGCCTGATTTTTTAGGCTACTGTTGAGTCTTGGGTCAAAGAAAAGATGCCAAAGAAGTCTGGAAGGTGGTGGTTCTGGCGCAAGAGAGAAAGCATGACTAAACAGGTAACTGAGACCTATCTGGATTTTTTTTTCCTTAACTTAAAAGACTGATTTTTTAGAAGGGCCTCAGAATGATGCTCATATAGCTCTGTGTTGGTGGTAGCGAGCTGAAAGTTACTCAGTATTACAGTGGCTGTAGCTGCTTCTGTATATTTAGTCTTAAGTGCCGCATCTTTATTTGTGATTACCAGTTGCTTCAGCAGAATTCCTTCTGTTCAGCTGTTACACAATACACTTAAAATTCTTTCTTCTAAGGTGTAAGTAATTGTTAGAGCTACTCTTCAGTCACTGCAGTATGTTTTAGGAATGTACACGCAAATAAATTAGTAGGTGCTGTACTGCATAATAAATGTTATGCTGAGACACCCCATTTTAGACGTAAGCTTTCTAAACCTTGAGTGTGTGCCTTAAATTTACTCCCCTCCCCACCCCCAAGTGAATTTTACAAGCTTAGAGGTTGACAGCTCCTTTAATGTGTTAAACTAGCAGTTTCAACTTCTGGCATGCAGAGCTTTGTTTCCTGAAATTAAAAAAAAAAAGCTTTAATGGATCATTTCTTCATAAGCATCCTTTTGTTAAGTAATTTAAGGAATGAGCAATTCTAAGACTTAATAAAATTTATGTACTATATTGATAGCTATTTGCTTAAGTGTGAACTGTGAATTCACTTGGATCAGTTTAAAATATTTAAAATGTCAATATGCTTTTTATTATCTTGTTGCTTTAGATACCAGAGACAAAAGAGGGGAAAACTGAGACGCAAAGAGCAAACGAACTGCCAGCAACTATAAAAGAGCAAGTTAATAGCAGGTGTGTTCCTGCCTGAAGACTTATTTACTGGACTGAATAGTGTCTTTTTTTATTTTTTTTCAATGAAGAATTCATTAGGAATTTACTGTGGGAAGAAACATTTTCCTCTAAACTACTGAAGAGGAACCAGATGTATTTAGCAAAATAATGTGGCAGCAAACATTGTAGGAACTACAAACACACTAAAATTATTTCTTAAATCCAGTTTTGTTTACTTCTTAAATAGTAACATAACTGACAGAACAGCAAAGACATATATGGTAACCTTTAGCAATGAGCCGCTACTCTGTAAATACAGTGTTATTGTTTCTGACATACTGTTTGTCTTTTTTTTTTCTTGTAAAAGCCTAACACTTTCTGAATAATACAAACCATGTGCAATTTTTTGTAACATAAAATAATTGAAACAATAAAATAGTATTCATTACAGTGCAGAAGTTGCTCAAGATTGTGGTGGACAACTAATGGTATTTTGCACAAAATTGTCCCAGTCTAGGTAATTTATTGTGCATATTCTCCCGTGATTTTATGAAGATACCAGTGAATGTTGTTGGTGTCTTAAGCGTTTTAAAAACTTAAATAGGTTGTAATTTAATGCTTCAGAGAAATTAAATGCTGCTTTTAATCTTGAAATCTCTAATTAGCAGAAAAGTCTGTGAATAGCCTTAAAAGGTGAGCTACTCCACTAACTTATCACCCACAGTTTTAACTATGTAGTAACTGTGGCAGCTTTTTTGAAGAACAAATCACTGTTACTCATTCGGTATCCCTTTTCACCTGCAGTTTACCTAATTCATCCACACAGTATTAGTGGCCGTTTGACGCTTTGTCTTTGCTAAACCCATCATGTGTGGAGCCAGCTAGTAATAGTGACATTAGATCTCCACCAATACTAGCATGCCTTACAAGTCTCACTTGCTTACTGGCATATACTAGCTTTATCTGGGCATTCACTAGACCATGGACTTTGTTAATCTGTGCTATTAGGCTAGCTGCAAATCCTCAGTGCAAGCAGAAATTAGTCTTGAATAGGAATCTTACACAATTAAAGAAGGGATTTTCTGTAGCTTACATTTATTATGTTTGATGTCGTGTTAGACCTCCAGAAGATGATTCTTCTAGTGATGAAGCATCACAGGAGTTGAAGGAATCCCTGAAAATAGATTCTCCCCCAGCAGAGCATCCAACCCATGGGAACATTACATCTTACAAGAAGTCACTTAGACTGTCTTCGGACCAAATAGTGAGTAGCATGCCTTTCTAGTACATAGAGTGCTTCATAATTCCACTCTGATTGTAAGAGTTGGGCTTTCTCCTGCTTTTCTAGCAGTAGCAGAAAGGAATGGATAAATTTAAAATTCAAAAAGAAATTTGAAGTATTTTCCTGTGCTCGTGTGAGCAGCTGTGGGGATTTTTGATTAACTTTCTTTTTCTGTTGTGTTTTTTAAGAATCTATGCTTGTAAGATTTTTATTTTTTTTTTTTAATCCAAAGTTCTATAATCAGACTTCTATATAAAGACGCTTAAAAAAAAAGTGACATTGTTGGTTTCTGCAATTTGGATATCCTGGGATCTGAACAGTCTAATAATGTACATTTAAATTGGTATGCAGTTCATTCATTGCAGTCTAACTTACAAGTTAGTTCTGTTACTGTCTATATGTATGGTCTTTATCAGGGGAAAATTTTGAGGGAAGCATCCACTAAGTAGAAAATACTGTTGCATACTATAGCAAACTGGGAGTTCCATTTGAAAGTACTGTAAGTCACCTGTAATAGCAAGAATTACAGTAGCAGAGATTTAAATATCTGCTGCTGTAAGCAGATGTAGGAGCTATGGACAAATACATGTGTCCAGACTACAAAACAGACCTTGTCAGCAAAACTGTGTCAGCGTTAAATCATGGTTCACTTTTTGATGAGTTAATCAAAATAGATGAGGAACAGCATATTAACCATTTTCTGTAGCTCATTTATGATTCTAAAAATCTTATAGAGAGAGCAAGTTAGTTACATTTTCAATTATTTTGTTTTATTCTAAAGGCAAAATTGAAGCTCAGAGATGGCCCTAATGATGTTGTATTTAGTATTACAACCCAATATCAAGGGACTTGCCGTTGTGCAGGAACAATATATCTCTGGAACTGGAATGATAAAATCATCATATCAGACATTGATGGAACAATTACCAAGTAAGTATCTTTTCTTATTATTATTGGGGGGGGAGGTGTTTGTTTTTTTAAAAATCTTGCTTTGTTGATCCTATTCTGCTCTTCAAAATAAAATAAACTTAATTTAAGAAGACTCTTAAATATTCATTAACAGTAGTGGAAAAAAACAACCGCAAACTTGTTGCTTTGATTTGAATTTGTATTTACAGCAGACTAGAAAATGTCTTTTAAAAGGTGATAATGTTTACCATGTGACTGCTGCTGTTTCAGTTAAACTTCTCCAGATTTAGCAGCTGCAGGTTAACTTAGGAACCGACTTGTGCTGTATTGCACCTAATTGCTCTGTCTGGAGTAGTTACCAATTCTCTTTTAAAATCATTAGGACCTGCTGTAGAGGTATTTCTGTAAAAACTCATTATGATATTTATCAGTAGTTGCCTTTAACAAAACTCAGATACTTAGCATCAGCTATCTGATTTCACTTTTAGGTCTGATGCTTTAGGACATATACTCCCTCATCTTGGCAAGGACTGGACGCATCAGGGCATTGCAAAACTCTATCATTCCATAAATGAGTAAGTATGTTATCTATGAAACAATCAGGGTTTTCTGGAATTCAGGAATTAATGGGCAGGTAATTGGATTGTTGTTAATAATTATGCAGCTTATTACAGTTTGTTGGTCTAAATGTTGGGAAGTGAACTACTTCTGTCATTCACAATCAAAACTAAGTTCTTTCCCCAGATGTATATTTTTACAGGAACGGAAGCTGCAACTTTTACTAGCTCCTTTCACAAATCGTTTATTATGCATTTTAGTTTGTAAAAACTGTAATATTTTGGCTACAAAAGAGAACCATAATAACAGTTAATTCAGTCAATCATGCATATGTCTGTTTCCACCAACTTGAGTTGATCACAAAGTCTATTACAAACATGATACAGTATAAATTCAGACTTAAGTTGTGTCCTTCCAGCGCATAAATATTTTGTGTTTTAACATGTTTGCTACCAAATTCAAGTGAATGCTGCTTAGGACAGATCTTGTTCTGACATACGCATAATTAACAACTTGCCACTGCCACAAAGGGAAGGTTGGTAGCCTGGTTTTCTGTCACTTTGTGCTTCTGACGTAAGATGATGCAATTCAATAGAAAAGTACTTTTCTGGGTTAGTCAGCGGAGTGGGCTTACCTTGTGATGTGCAAGAACCTACAGAAACAGCCCATGTAGCTTCCCTCTTGCAGCAGTGAGGTATTTGCTCAGTTCAGAAGTGTTACGAGCTGCATCCTTATATAAATGTAATGTTCATTGAAGAGGTGTATAGCCTCACAGTATTTGTCCAGTAACTTAAACCTACATATTTCCTCCCATTTCAGATTTGGTCCTTTGTTTAGCAAACTTTTTCCAGAAGTATAGTGATGCCAGAAATACTTGCTTATTTAGGGGGATCACAGGATGATCAACTGTTAAACACTTTGTGATCCACTTAAAAGTGTAGTAGTCTTTCTTTCCACAAAAATATTTGGGGTTTAGAATCTATTATTGGCCTTCGTTCTTGTGGCCTTCGTTCTGTGGCTAAATTTTGTCTGTGGTACCTTGTAGTCCTGGGAGATAACCTGAACTTTTTTTCTTTGTGCATAACAGAAGAGCTGGAATTATTTGCCAAATTGAATCAAGCCTTTTGTGCATGCAGTAACTATGTACAAATCAGTGTAACAAACGAAGCGGCAGGAAAAATTTAGGGGCTTGATGAATACTTTTTGTTATCCATCCTTCCCTCTGTGCTACAAGTTCTGCTAATAACCAAACTAACTAATTGATAATTCTTTTCTAGAAATGGCTACAAGTTTCTGTACTGTTCTGCCCGTGCCATTGGGATGGCAGATATGACCAGAGGATATCTACATTGGGTGAATGACAAAGGAACAATTCTCCCCAGGGGCCCTCTGATGTTGTCCCCCAGCAGTTTGTTTTCTGCCTTTCATAGGTAAACATGTGGGATTTCATACATCCATTCCCTCCCCACCTCAGAAGCAGATTAAAAATATCTGAAATGCTAACAATTACAGCTGGAACCAAATTTAACACTCTATGCTAGATTGACTGCCGAGGCTTGATGTCCTTCTAGTGATCATTTATAAACTATTTATTTTGTCTGAATTTCAGTTTTAGTAATCTTCTGTTTCTGTGGGCATGTTAGAATTGGCTGCGAGACACACAATGTCAGCAGCTTGCTTTGCCTGTTCTTCATTCCTCTAGTCCATGACTGATTAATGCTAGTTTCTGTTTATATCAGTAAAATTTTGTCTTTTCAAGTATAGCTACAAAGATTGTAATGCAGTGCTACTGCACCAAATAGAGGGAAAAGAAAGAAAAAAAGGTGGGGAATATAGACTGTCACACTAAATGATCTTGTGATATTGGGAGTGCTTCATATATGACTAGTTAAAAAGCAATATGGAGTTTAGCTGTGGTTCAACTTGGTTGCTCTTTTGAACCAGCCATAGGCTACCTCTTCTTGATGGGAAGAGCTAATAGTGGAAAGGTCTCTTTGGCTTTGCTTCTGTGTTTTGCTTTGGTTTGTTTTTTTTAGTAACAACACCTGATTCATGGCTAGCAATGACAGCAACTTCCATTAGGTCCGCTGGCAGGCCTTCTGCACTCTATTGTCAGAGGCAGCACTTGTAACAAGCTTATGTGTACTTGATTAGGTCCTCTGATTCAGATAGTCATCTACAGAAAAAGCAGTTCATAAACTTCATTCACAGATGGGAATTTCATCCCATATACTTAGCCTAAGCAAGACTATTTACCTATTTTTTACTATGGATGTTGGAAAACAGCGAATGTTCTATGTTTCTTTTATCATTCTTTAGAAACTACTGACCAATGTCTATATAACTACCAATGTTAGCAACAGGAAGTAATGGGAATATAAATATCAGATAAATGGGGGAAGGAGGATATCCTCTATCAAATCATGGTTTAGAATTTGACTGTTGAAATTTTATTTTAGGGAAGTGATAGAAAAGAAGCCTGAAAAGTTCAAAATCGAATGTTTGAATGATATCAAGAATTTGTTTGCTCCCAGTAAACAGCCTTTCTATGCTGCTTTTGGAAACAGGCCCAATGTAAGTCTGCCCCTTTCTAATTGAAGGGTTAAAATGCATGAAGTACTTGGGAAGCAAAAGAAAAAGGCTTTTCTTTTTGTGTCTATTTAAATTTGAATAAGGAAATGGGACACTGGTGCTTTTATGGATCTGGTCAGGAAAGCTCGCATGCAGATACCTTAAATGCTGCTAGAACTGCTTGTATGAGAGAGGTTACAAAGGTGTGTTTGTACTCTTAAAATTTTATTAAATATATGATACCTTTCCATATTCTTTTTCAGCAGTTTTGACAGCTTTCTAACCTAAGGAAATTAATTCAGTGCTCTTCAGTCTTGAATCCTTTTTCCTGTTCTATGGTTCCTGTATTTTCTGTGCAGCTCAATGCTATTGTAATTGATTAAGCTAGAGAGAGAGGGTATTGTAAGAAAAATGTTGTCACAAGAAATGGTATTTTGTGGTACAGATTTTGTGTGTGTTTGTGGTCCCAGGCTTGGGAATGGGAATCAAGCATTTTGGTGCAGAAGGAATATTTTGTTCTGGTGTGTGTATGTTTGGTGTGTTTTTGTTTGTTTGGGGGTTTTTGGCTGTTGTTCAGGGGGTATTTTGTTAAGGGATAGTTTTACTGTAAGATTTTAGGATCAGCTTTTTTTGTTTGTTTGTTACATCACATTCAGTAAGCAAATACCGAAGCATGTGCGTTTGTTCGTGGTTTTTTGCAGGATGTATATGCCTATATGCAAGTGGGAGTTCCAGACTGCAGAATATTTACTGTGAATCCAAAGGGTGAACTGATCCAAGAACGGACTAAGGGAAACAAATCTTCGTAAGATCACTTTTGTTATTTCAGCTAAAGAAAGTATTTTGAAATGGGATTACAGAATAATTGCATTTGTCACCATGATGATTCAATCTCCTGTTACATGTGACATGAAAATCTTGCAGCTTTGGATACTTAACTGAAACTTTTCATGAACAGTAAACTGGCAGAAGTGGTGCCTTATTTGACTATATTTGACTATAGCTTTCTGGTCTAGACTTCTTAAGCTCTTTTTTGGCAACAGCTGAACAGTGACCAGACTGTTAAATAATGGTCTTTCTTCTTTTTTAATATAGGTATTACAGACTAAGTGAACTTGTGGAATATGTGTTCCCACTGCTTAATAAAGAACAGAGTTCTGCCTTTCCATGCCCAGAATTCAGCTCCTTTTGCTATTGGAGAGAGCCTCTTCCTGACCTTAACATGGACGACTTGGCCTGAAAAACACTTCTCACCTAGAGATGGAATTTCATACTCAGCTACTCAACTTCAGTTTAAATGTGAAGAACTTTCTTAACAAAGATGCTAATTTATATACTGGTACCATAAGTCTTACTAAAGAAATCACTTTAACTCCATTGGTTTAAAACAAAGAAAATGCAAAGCTACTATTTTTTTTTTCTAAGGTTTGTTTGTTTCTTTATTGCTTGTCTTTATATACCTGTTCTAAGGCACTTGAAATTGGCCTGTCATTGATGGTCATGGTACCCAGGTGCTTCAGGGTGACTAAAGCTGAGGTAAACTATGACTTTGTGTTTTCATCAATACAGACCTTGTTGTAAACGTAGATTCTTTTTTTTTTTTTTATTAGTCTTAATAGTATATCTTCTAAAATGAAGCCAAAAAGTGTATGGAAACTGCCAAATTGAATGTCAGACCTACTAATAAAAAACGTGGTCTAGTGTTCAGGTGGGTAATTAGGCCATTTTTGAAAGGAGCCAGAACCTAAGACCAGTGTGCTCTTTCTCAGCTACAATACAGAAAATGTGTAGGCATTACTAGCCTGACAGGCTCTGAAGACATAAAATTCCTCTTTAAATGTAAATACGCCTTTTGTCACATGTACGAGGCTGTGCTTGTACAATTCACACTCAGACTAACTCTGCTTACGACTTATTTTACATGCAATGTTTCAACTTTTTCATGAGCTTGTTAAAATGAAAGTTGTCTTCAGGTATTTGTATGGCTTTTGTTGTTTTCAGGCTGCACTTTGTCATGTTCAGTTTCCATCAAGAAAAATCTTGAACATTTCTGTAAGAGTTGGGGAGCTGGCATTTTAATTTCCTTTTTCAACACGGAGATGATGCACGCATGTGTGTTTGCTGTGTAGGCCAGTAAAAGTATGTACAGATTATATTCAGGGAATTGTAATACTAAAAAAAATATTTAATTTTTTAATTGTCTACTGCAGGTCTTTCCAGAATTCTGTATTGCAGGTTTTCAGCAGCTGGAAGGAAATGCAGCTCAATGAGATTCCAGGTATGAGAATGGTTAAATACTGCAGAGCAGAATAAAACCTTTTTGTTCTTGTTTTCTTTTTTTTTTTTTTTTTGTTTTGTTGTTGTTGGGTTTTTTTCCTTTATGTTTTGGGTTATTCATCAACATCATGCTGGTCATTCCTCAGGTTCACATCAGAGCCTGTGAACAAATTGCATTCCAAGTCCAGTGTTTATCAGCTGTAAAAGCAGCTAGTATTTCTCTCGAAAAATACTTGAAAAATACAGTAGTTCTGCTTTTTAAGCTGAGTTAGTGCATTTAACCTCCTTCAGATAAGTCTGTGGTGAGAATGTATCATTCTACTAGCTCAAAGGGCTTAAGGACTAAAGTCATTGATACATCATTCCTCTGCTTTCTGGGGACAGTCTTTTCTGTCATTCCTTATGTGAGTTACTGGGGCCTCGCATTACTCTTCCAGTGGCAACATCCTTAATTTCACCAGGCTCTGGGGTGAGCTTTCCCCCAACACAGCTCCCAGTGGGAGCAGGGAAAGGAGCTCTCTTGGTTTCACTACTTGCAGAAGAGTACATTTAGAGTGTTTTGCACACATATTCCCCCCAGGAATATTTTCTTTATCAGGCTGAGTAGTCTTAACCCACAGTTCTGATGTAACACCAGCTAGACAGCTGGTGAACTGCTTGGGGGTATCACTTTTAGATCACTATATAAATGAAATTACTTTTTTTTACCCCGTTTTAAAACTCTGGTGTATTCTTGTGCTTATAAAACATTAACTGAAGAGTGGAGGCAAGCAAAATCAACAGAGAACCCCTCTTTCAAAGCAGGAGTGTGAGAGTGGAAAAGAAAACACACCTATCTGTCATGGTGTCCCATGCATGTCAGTGAACTGAAAGGCATCCTTGTTCTTGTACAGCGAGAACAAGACTTTCTGTGACTCTCTCAGCAGATTCTTAGTCGTGTTACCAGTCTACTCTGTGCTTAAGTGGATTTCACAGGATTCAACTCAAAGGATATTTTGCTCATACTGGGTTGTTTTGTTTGTTTGTTTGGGGTTTTTTACTGTCAGAAGCTTACAAACATCATTCCCATGTATTCGTCTTGTTTTTCTTGCCATTTATTCGATAGATTTCATTAGAAACTGAATTTTTCATGCTCACCAAGTGCTTTGAATATCAATGGAATTTGAGCTTTTAAGTCACTTGACTACTTTAAATAAATAAGAGTCCAACATAATAAAGTATTTTAATTACAAGATGAAATACTCTATCTAAAGATTCTATTTTACATAAAGGGAGTGAAGCTGCCTTTCCTGAAACAGTCCTTTGTGGATGTCGAAATTTTCTTTACCGTGCTTAGCTTATTCTTAGTGGCCCTGTTTTTACATGGCTTTTCGAAAAATAAGAGCGCTTAATGAAACTGGGATGGGTTTCCAAACAGGACAGATTGTTGCCAAGCTTTGGCCATATCTTTCTTGGTTAATTTTTTTTTTCTTACTACTTGGTCTTTTTTCTCTTCCATCCCATGCATCCTTTCAGATTGTCATAATGATGAGCTGTGGATTTTAAAGTGGGGACTTGAGTTGAATGAATATAATGAAAAAAATGAGTAAATGAGTATGAAGAAAAACAGTATCAGGTGTATTTCCAAATGCATATCATTTCAGCTGATCTGAGTATGGGGGTTGTGTGGTTGTAGAGAGCTCCTTATTCTGCTAACCTGATCTTTCGCATTATAGGGATGTCCAAAAAAATGCTTAGTTAAAAATTTTGATATTTTTGCTTTGTAACAGCTACAGTTTTGATATTTGTTTTTTTGACAAAATGTAAAAGTGTTCTTGAGTACTTCTGATATGAGTAGGGCAGAGTGGCTGTTTTGTTTTCTTTTTCTAAATCTGGCTTGTATTTGAAGCTTTTCAGATTGCTTGTTAACCTAGTTTAGGGGCAGAATATGGGACACTGTACCTGTCACTGCTTACCTGTGTAATTTGGACTGCTGGGCACTTTACTGACTCTATAAAAGACATCTCATTGCTATCAAAACTGTAGGCTTGTGCTGCAATATTAATATGAAGTGGAATAAATAGGAGTTATGCAGTAACCTGTCATTTGTTACCTTAGTTGAGAGAAATGGCCTGAAACTAATGTTTGAGAGCAAGCTGTGCTATACTTACTTAGAATTAGCACAAGCAAAATCATTCTTTCTATGAAAGAGGAACTTCTACGTGCATGTGTCTGTGGGCACATGCACCCCCCTGTTAAGACTGTGTTGTTGAAGATGCAGAGCCTCTCAGCATTGGCACCCTGTCAAAGGCGGAGTCAGTGATACCTATCTGGGAGTAAACAAGGAACATTGCAATTCAAAACTTGTTAGTGACTTGGACATTACCCATTTCTATAATGATTTAAAGATCAGGAATTCAAGTGGTACACATTTCTGGGAATTTTGTTGGGATTTTTTTACTGCACCAAGCATGTTTGTACTTCAAAGGTTGTGCACTCACCCCTAACAGTATACAATTGCATGTGCAGTCCTGGCTTGTGTATCCTTAGCTTCCCATCACCGGTATACTCCTCCTAAAACTTTTTTGGGTTGTTGTGTTTTGTTTTGTTTTTTTTTCCAACTGGAGAAGTTTTAACACTTGTGTCAACTCCATTCTGGAACTTCTGAAGCAAACTCCCAAATCTGTTTATGGTAAAGACAAATTTATAACGCAACATCAAAAATACAGAGTTAAACTGAGATGCCTTTAAAGAGTCACTTTTGCCTGAAGAAGTTTTACTTTCCAAAATTAAAATCTGTTGAATAGAATGGAATTGGTTTGGATTTTTTTACAGTGTTAATTACTTCCAGATGAAAGTTAAAATGTTGGTTTGAGAGTGGGAAAACTCTTGAACCATTTGTTTCATTTTTATGTTGAAGATGTGGAATACCTGATTGTTAAGCAACCCAATCACTAATAAAGTCGTGTTTAAAACTGTCAAATCTGTGATCATACCAATACAGTGATTTTTCATTAAGACTGGACTATCTTGGGTACAGTAACCCACACTTCAGTGCAATGTTTATTGATGTTCAGAACAATGTTATCACAATAAACAAACTTAAACTACAACTTTTCTTCTCTTTGTACTTGGGAATTCCATTCTTGTACTGCTAATTTAGTAAATGTAGGATTATTTATATTGTGCTCAGATTTCACGTGGAATTCAAGTTTTTCTTTTTATCTATGATACATTTGCTCTCTCATACTCGGTTTGCTTTTCTCAGAGTATTTATACAAGTGATAAATAATTGCTGTCATCAAACTTGCATTGTATGCTAGTACCAGTATTGGGTTATGACAAAAAGCAAACATGCATTATTAATATAGTATCAGGTAACAGATACATGACAGGAATGCACAAGCTGCCTTGAGGAAAATCCTTCAACTGCATAGTTTGAGCCCTTGTACGTCTGCCCTAATTTGGAGTTTTATGCTAATTCCATCAAAGTTAACTTTTTCCTTTCAAGGCAGAAAGTACTGTCTTCCACCACAGTTGCTAAATTGCTTGAGGCAATTACTGTGAGACCATCCTGAGAAGGGGGCCTCAGCTTTCAGCTGAAACATGCTCTGCTGTTGGCAAATGCAACCAGCCAGCAGCCTACCTTACAAATTCCAGCTCCTGCAGTCACACATACAGGTATGACAGATCTGCCTGAGTGTGTGAGCTGTGCTGTGCTTTTGACCCTTCTGCAGGGTGTCACTTGTGTCGCTGCCCCCAGCACCTATGCGCTCTCTTTGCACCCAGACACAGCTTACTGCTGGGGTTTCATCATCTGAATTCTGTTTGGTTTCCCCTGTGGGTCTGTGCCCTTTTCTTCACACCCAGGGCACTTCATTCCTCACACTATGCTCTTTTCACTGCCACTTCATCTTTTACTCCTAGGTCTCCATACTTGCTTGTCTCATGCAGTGAGAAACTGTGGGTGCACACAATACAAGGGTGGCATGTCCTATGTATGCCAAGTGTTCAGGTCTGTTGCAAAAAGGTTTCTCTGTGGGTGTTGTTTCTGTCTTAGTCCAGTGGAGTTCTTGGTGGGTGGATTTTCTGTCATGGAGCACCAGTCCTTTAAATGCACAAAGACAGAACCAGTGTTTCCAAGAACAGGCACTTTGTGTGTGCAGGGCGGTGTTTCTGCAGTCGTGCCATGCAGTCGGTACAGCAGGGGCCCCAGGAGGACCTCCTGTGCAGCCCTGCACCTTTGTGGTTGGGAAGCCATTTTGGTTTGGTATGTGCGCACTCACGCTTCCTGCAGTTGCCAGCCAAGCTCTGGGGCCAGTGCTGAGCGGGGCAGTGGGTCACTGGCTGCTCAGCAGAAGCCCTGGGTGCCACACAGGGGAAGGGACCTGAACAATTCAGGGGCTATGCAGGTTTCATGGCTGGGCAGGGCAAGTTTGTCGAGGTCTTCTGGCAGGGGGGCTGCTTCTGTGCAATGTGTTGTACCCACTGCTTTTCCTCCTCTCCGCTCACCTTAAAGAAGTTAATCAAAAGCACATTGATGTTTCTGCCCCACACCAGAGATGCCCAAGACCCCTCACAGGGGGATGGAGCAAGGAACAGCACAAAGACTCCAGCGCTGTAACCCTGTGTGGTGTTTTTCTTCACAGCTGAAGTGGTTGCCAAATGGCTGTGGCTCGGTGGGAGAACAGATGTTGAACTACATGAGACTGAGGGCTTTCATTAATGGCTTTTGTGTATAGTGTTTGAACAGGGCACAATTAACTGTGCACTGGGAGAATTACAAGTGATGGTAAGCCACTGCCTTGGGAGTGCTGCAGAAGCCTTTGGCTTGTAAGGAAGCATGCCGGGTAGTTACAGTTTTGGCTAAACATTCACATTTAGACTGAATTAATCTGAATTCAGCTTTAACGACTGAGTGGTTATCACTCTCTCTTAACCCTAGCACTGAGACCTGGGACACATGGTGCTTCCTTCCTAGTAATTTCTTCTGCTCCAGTCTTCCCCTGCCGTCTTTTCCTTCTCTTTCCTAGGTTGCTATTCTGTAATCTTGTTACCCACTCCTGATGGTACTTCATGTGTACATGTTCTGGTCAGCATAAGCAACATGGCCCAAGCTGTTCAGAAGGGCAGAGCTCAAAGGGTTGTGGTGAATGGGGCTACACCTGGCTGTTGAGCAGGCAGCAGTGGTGTTCCTCAGGGCACAATCCTGGGGCCGGTTCTGGTCACTATTTTAATCAGTGACCTGGATGCAGGAGTTGAATGCACCATTAGCAAGTTCACTGACGATACCAAACTAGGAGGTGCAGTTGACTCTCCTGAGGGACTGGAAGCCTTGCAGAGAAATCTAGATAGATTGGAGCATTGGGCAGTGATTAATGGGATGATATTTAACAAGTCCAAATGCTGGTTTCTGTGCCTGGTACAGAATTATGCTGGCCACAAGTATAGATGTGGAGAGGAATGGCTGGGGAGCTGCCCTGCAGAAAGGGACCTTGGGGTGCTGGTTGGCAGCAGGATCAACAGGAGTCAGCAGGGAGCCCTGACAGCCCAGAGGGCAAACCTCACCCTGGGGTGCAGCAGAACCCACAGCAGAACCAGCCAGTCAAAAGAGGTGACTGCCACTGTACTCAGTGGGGCCTCACCTCGAGTGCTGTGTGCAGTGCTGGGCCCCACCGTTTAAGAAGGATGTGAAAGTCCTTAAATGTGTCCAGAGGAGAACAACAAAACTGGTGAAAGGGCTGGAGGGAATGTCCTGTGAGGAGTGGCTGAGGGCTGAGGACTTTGGGCTTGTCTAGCCTGGGGAAAAGGAGGCTGAGGGAGACCTCACTGCTCTCTATGGGTTCTTGAGGAGAGGAAGTGGAGAGGAGGTGCTGATCCCTCCCTCCTTAATAAAGCCTCCACTTGTCCCAGTGACAGAATATATGGGAATGGTTCAAAGCTGCACCAGGGAAGGTTTAGACTGGACATTGGGAAGCATTTCTTTATGTAGAGGGTGATGAAACGGAGAGGTGGTCGGTGTCCAAACCTGTCAGTGTTTAAGAGGCATTGGGAGAACGCCCTTTAACAGCTTGCTTTAACTTGTGGTCGGCCCTGAGGTGGTCAGGCAGTTTTCTAGATCGTCATTGTAGGGCCCTTCCAACTGAAACAATCTATTCTACATGTTGGGAATCGGGGCACCGAATGAGCAACTAAAATGGGCAAGAACTCTGTTGACAGAACTTGTGTGTGCCACAAAGCCTAAATAACAGTGCTTGAGACTCAATAAACACTTAAAATACACTTGCAAGCTTGACAGAAGCCAGCTTGACTGTGAAACTGCAGTTTTAAAGGTGGTGGAGGAGAGAGCAAAAATTTTGGCTTACAGTGCTGCTGTGTTCACTGGAAAGCAAAAGAGCATCAGCACATCACAGAAGAGGCAGTCTTTATTTGGACATATATGCAGTTTTCCATCGCACCGTTTTCTTCATGTTCCTGGATATTCTCTCTTATATATACATGAATATATGTATACACATGCACATATAAAGCATACTCTCAAATGCACTATTCTTTTTTGCTGAAAAATTGTTCCCTTTTTTTTCACAATCCAGATGGCAAAATGGATAAATACCAAAACCTGCCTATCTATGTACTAACATGTTGCAAGATGTTCTTTGAAGTCTCCTGCATACAAGGAATCTGCAGAGCTCTTGTTCGACATCTTGTCTCGTCTGCAGGGTCAGTCACAGGAGGATTGGTGCTGGCTCAAGCACAAGCCTGTCTTGTGATGACAGGGGACACATCCCCCAGGTATTCCTGGTAACCTGACTATTGAAACTCTATGCTGATACCTGGGAGCAACTGGCAGTTGTGTTTCTGCTCAAGTCTCAGAGGAGCACATAGTCCTTCCAACTCAACCCGAGGTGGTAACTGCATTTGTAGGTTTGGTGAAATTGATCCATATCCACTACTGGGCCATAATATAAAGACTGATTTATTTATTCAGCAACTAAAACTCACTTTCAAATGCTCAATGTATCCTCAGGAGACAGTTCAATCCTGATCTGAAGCTCTGGGCTGCAGCCAGGGAGCCCTTTTCCATGCATTCCAAGTGCACTTTAAAACCGCCTTGGGTGGTGATGTGCATTTTGTTTCAAGTTGCCTTCCTGTGCTTTCCACATACAGCTCACTCTATTTCCTTGAGTACTTACAACTTCACCCAACTGGCTGATCGGCCTCACTGCGCTGGCTAGAGTCTCTCAGTAGAACTGCACAAAGCTGCTGCAGGTAACCTGGTGTGCTCCAAAAAGGTACATGGTGGGATATCCCAGAAAACCCCCATTGCTTGGCATGGTCAGTATGGAAATGTTTCTGCTGTGTTTGGAGGCTTAACAGCAAATTAAAATAATGAGGTAGGTTTTTTTACACATTTGGCATTCCTGCTTTGCTCCAAACTGTGCTGGGGAGATGACTGTTCTATCTTTGGCATGGTTGCATTTCCCTATGGCTGCTGTAGGAGACACTTTTGGCCAGAGCAGAGCCTTTCAGGCTTGTCAGCATGCTGGTGTGTCTTAAGATGTTCTGCTGCTAGAGACCTGGCAATGGGCATTTACCAATCTACCTGTCTCACATGTGATGCTTTCTTGGGGACTCCGCTTGTTTTGGTACTGGCATTGTTCAGTTTTCTTCCCATTTCAATGTCAAGGGGGAAGCACCTGGCACAACAGATACTGTTTTGCCTTGGAGTCTTGCAGTCCTCGTAAACTGCACCACAAAGGTACCTACAAAGCTGATCTAAAAGGCAGCACCATGACTTACAACCAGGCAGCATACCTGCCTTCCAGCTCCCACCTGCAGGATTATTTGGTTTTCTAAGGCTTTCTCAGTTAACAGATGCTGCATATTTGACCTTGTGTCTGCTCTTGGATATGGCAGTCAAACCATTAGCCCAGTATGAAATGTTCCTTTCAGTGCACGTATTTTCTTGTTCTGTTGCAGATTCTCACTGAAGATGTAAATGCTCCATCAGTGGGTTCTGGGTGCCCTGGAGCAGGGCTTTGCTTCCTCCTCTGAAGCTGGGCTGTTCTATATGGAGCAAACCTTCAGCAGGCTTCAGTGTGTGCTTCAGTCCCTTCCAGTTGCTGCTTTAATGATGTTTTATTTAAACAATCACTGGAGCAGAGGCCAGAACTCAGGTTCCCCCCTCCCTTTGCTGTTCAGGGGCCACAACACTGCCCTCTTCCCAGCTGGGTGAACATTCCACCTTGTAAGACCCAGGAAAAATAAGCTCATCAGGAGAACCGAGCCACTAACCCTGATTACAGCAATTACCAAGAAGTGGAAATTAAGGGTCAGGTCTCCCTCAGTAAAGGCAGGAATCTGAGACAGATTTTCCTTGTAGAAGGTCATAGCATTAGCCACTGTGCTGCTAGAGATGGCAGATGGGAAACTACCCTTAAAAGCTCTGAAAGTTGTCCTCAAAATACATGGCTGAGATTGGGCCCTGCTGTAACATAGCTTATACCTGTGTACAAATACCAGTTACGCTGCATTATGAGGGCTGAAACAATCTCAGCATCAGCATTAAAAATTCATTCTTAAAAATGCCTCATTTGGAGGGAGGGGGGAAGGGAAAGAAAAAAGGGGTTGTGTTTGCCAGCTGGGTCTCCCTAAGCGCTCAGCTCATTTTGTTTGTTTCCATGAGTCATTTTTAGAATAGGCAACAATAATCTAACAATACTTGAGTCATACGTACTCCAGCGCCAACTTCTTAGAGAACACAGCTTTCCTGAGGAGAGTGGAAAAACAGCCTAAAAGGAGAAGTGCCTCTCTAGCTTTTGTACGTTACAAGAAGTTCTGCTTTTTAAAAAGTGGTTGATGGAACTGGCTTTTGAAAACACAGAAAACAATCCTTCCTGTATATCCCCTCAAATTTGAGACCTAAAAAGGCATGGGACAGAAAGGGGCTGTTGATTTAAGACAAAGAACCCCCATGCCCCCCTTGAACAAGCACGCGGCTGCTAACTGCATGCTAATGCCTCATGCTCCAGCGCAGGTCAAGACAAATGCGAAGGGAAATGAGCTGGGGCTCGTTTCTCCCTTTATCATGCTGTGAAGTGCAATCTCAGCATACAGCTTTGGCTACTCTCATAGAAACAGCCTTCCTGCAACAAAATACATCCAGTCCTACCTTCTGCTTCTTAGTAACACCGTCATTTCTGAAAATCAGGTGCCAAGAGATCCTAAACTAAAACCCCACTCAATTTTCCCCCTCTGCTCACAGCTCCCCCAGTGCAATCCTAGCTGTAAGGGACTGATTCAGAGTTCCTCTGTGGAGACAAAGCTTTTTCTGCCTGCTTTTCCCCAAAGCAGCTCAGCTTCCAGGATGTGACAGTTTGTTGTGGGAAGGCCCCATCTCATCGCCTGGAAACAGAGTAATTAGGGAGTATCAATTCCAAACTTATGCAACCAAGGCTAAGTTTTCATCTGACCTCCTCAGATGGGAAGGGCTCCAGCTAAACATTCTGTGCTGCTTTACAGCACAGGGAGTTCTTCCTTCACCTGAAAGAATTGTTTGTTCTGAGGCTATACTATAAAAAGCTGTTCTGCATTTGTAAGAAGTAGAAAATATTACACAAACCTCTATGATAAATACAACTCTATGCAGCATGAACAGACTATTAAGAACATCAGTTTATATAAATATGTAAGTGACAAAGGAACAGTCTTGCTCTCAGTAAATCACAGCCAGATTTCTTTTTCAGCCACAAAAGAGATCAAATCTAACTCAAAAGAGCCAAACCATCACTTCTGTTATCTCCACAGAGAAGTGGCCAGTATGAGAAGTAAAATACTGTTGTCCCAAACGTATTTAACTGCTTTAACTAAGAAAGTTGCTTCATCCATATAAACAGATGCTGCATGTTAAAACAAACCTCAGTCAAAAGCATAATGCAGGAGGCTAGAGCAAAAACTTGATGCAGATGGCTGGTTTATGCCTTTGACAGTAAGACTTATTTTCCTCTCTCAACAATCTTTTCTCTTTTACAAAGAAGAAAACTTCCTTTTTAATGCAAATACTGTAAGAGTGCCAGGAACAAAGTTTTTAAACTTTTCATTTTTCTAGCTAAGCAGACACAATTCATTTTCTTCTGACCTGTTTTATTAATTTCAAGCAGCAAGCTTTAATCTCAAGAGCACCATGCTTAACTGATCGTCTCTCTGACTGTATCCATTTAAAATAACTGTTCTGAAGCTTTCAGTAGTAGCACCTGCACCTTGCGCTCACATCTGCTGTAGAAAAGCACGTGGAAATCCAAGGCCAGGTAACTTTCTCCCTGCGCAGCTGCTTCCACTTGACTGGAATGAGTCACCTGTCTCTAAACACTGTGTTTAGGCCTTAAAGGAAAAAGAAACCTGATGCAGGTGAGTATCCTTTTGCTCTGCACCATCACGGTTAGCAACTGCATTGAACAAACTGTTTGTAAGAAAGCAGCTGACCCAATGTAGTCTTAACACAAAAAGTTATTGACCATGTCCAATACAATTTCACTTTCCTGGCCCTGCTTTACTGAAAACATAAAAATAGCTGACCACGATTGTAAACTTCAGATGTAAACTTTGATAAACTAGGGACAAGTTGGAAAACTAGGAAGAGCACTGCAAAGACAATTTAATAGAGAATAGTAAGAGCACAGTGGAGAAGTATCTATCAAGAACGTATTTGTTGTTTAAACGGTTGTTCTGTTTGTGCAGGTAAACAAGAACTTGGGAAGGAACTAGTTTAGCTACAGAAACATGTCTTTTGTAGCTACATCTGGAAACAGGACAAGGAAATGGTCTCAGTATAGACTATAAACCCATCACTGAAATCAAATATATAAACTGAATATATTAAAGCTTTGGATTTTATTACACTTAATTTCTTCTGAATATCTTACCCTTCTCTCCTGTTCCAGGTAAACCTAAACATGAGAAATGGAAGGATAAAGGAGAACTCCACTAAACGTGGAGTACATTTCGTCAGAGTCTGTGTAGGCCAGCTTGCCTCCTGTTACGACGACGTTTACTTCATCTCCCGCTTTGAGGTGAAGAACAAGGTGGAACGTCCCAGGACCACCACAGGTCTGTTTCCCTGAGTAGGGTTTGTGATACTCCAACAGTTCCCTTCTGTATCCAGCCGTGTGGAGCTGAGCTACGCTTGCATTGGAGACAGAAAGCACTGCTTCTACATACTCATCCCTCTCCGGGGCCAGCACAGCAGTGATCAGGTAGCGTCCTTCATACGGTGATGTGAAAATGCCTGCAGAAGAGTTCTCAGAGTTATTCAGAATGGAGAGACCTAATTGCTCCAAGTACAATGACAAACATAAAATGACATGGGTTACCCTTTGCTATGTACAGATAACTGTGACATGGTCAGCCTGGATAGCAGACCAGCTGATAGCAGTCATGAAGACAAAGGGTTACTGCTTTTATACTACAGCCCACAGGTCCTTCGGAACCTCCTGGCCTAAGCAACCACCATGACTCAGAGCTGGGTGATGAGGTGAGAGGCACCCACACGCTGTGCCAGTCCTCAGTAGGTTAAGGCACACCTAGCACCCTTGAGTGACAGGACTCTGCCTGAGGAGGGGGCAACCCGCAGGTACTACTACTGCCTCTCCCCGGGTGACCCATCTGGCTGAGCTGCAGCGAAGTGGGTTAGCAAGGAACCTCACCTCTACTACCTGGGCTCAGCCAGCCTGAGGTGGGCGAGGAGCAAAACCAGCTGTGCTGGCAGAGCTGACACAGTGCTGAGTGGGCCTCAAAATTACCAGACAGCTGCAGAAAATCAGCAGTGGCAAAGTGTGTGCCTGTCCACATCCATAGGAAGCTTTTATTGCAGGTTTAGATTAACTTGTTTGTTCAATGCGCCAGCAAGGCCTGAGATGGCACCAAACACTGGTAACCCACGCTACTGCCTGTCTGGCATCTCTGTGGGTCCATTCTTTGGCTGTTACCTGTATTAGGGTTGTAATAGTCCCCGTCATTCACAAGCACTTTGTTAAAGTGAACCACGCCAACATCACTGGAGAAAGGCTTCTGTGTGAGCCCAGCAGAAAATGACACCAGAGAGGCCGCAGCGGCAGCAGGTCCTAAAATGGGTAACAACATGAGTCAGAGTCACATCAGGATGACAACACAGCCTCTCCCTGTGATGGTTTATAATCCACTATCTCTGTTCCTGCACATACTCCACTTGGATAAATCCTGTCACTTGAATTAGCAGAATACTAACTGCTGGCCCAGGTCCCATGTATCTCACTGTAAAATTTACTAAGCACCACAGAATTGCTGCCTTGACCACAGCATCCCTGGGTTTGGGTTGGGTTATTTTTTCCTTCTAAGGAAAAGGTACATGGCTTGTAAATGCTGGCAGTGGAAATCCTGCCACCTCTCAGTTCAGCAATGCTTTTGCCATGGACTTTCTTCGGGATCGAGGCTGCCCTTGGACATCTCCGCTCTCCATCACTATCACAATGACAACAGGTCAGCTTTCCTAGTCACGCTGAGAAGCTGCACACAGCTTAGATCTCTCACCCTCTCTGCTGAAGCGTTAGTGAAAATAGCTACAAGAAGAAACACTTCGGCATTATCGGCATTATAGCAAAGAGAATCATCACTGGGGCTTTTCTCTCTCTCCAGCACTTCTCTCTTGGAGGACTTTTCATCCCAGTTTTAATTTTCTCAGCAGATCAGTCACTCCGGTATTTTATAGTGGCTACTTGCTTACTACCTAAGCACTGCTACTAGATGAAATACAATTTGGACAATTGACACAGATTTTTACATTTAACAGACTGGTTTAATGGCATTTAGTGATCGATCACTTAACTTGTGCATTCCACTTTAGTTCCTTTTGCTCTAAACATTTCCCCTAAAGTAGGACACACTGCTAGAAGCAGTCAACTATAGTTGCTTTGTTTGGGCTATTAGGTAAACCACAAATGCACTTAAAGTTGCCCTCAGTTGCTCCTTCTGTTCTGTGCTGTTCAGGTTCGGATCCGTATCTTCTCTGTGCTCTCAATCTGAGATGCCCATCAGCAACCAATGTTTAAGATTGTATCCCGTAAAAATTGAAGTTAAAAAGTGACAAAACTTCAACTAAAATGTGGATATGCAAATGCTCTGCTATCCTTTTTTGTCTGAATAACTTGGCATTGGGGGTGGGAGGGTAAGGCAAGGTGAAGACATGCCTGCAACTTCAGAAATGGCAAATAACTACCTTGACTTCCCTGAGGGGCTGGTAACCAGCTGCCTCACGTATCTTTGGAAATCTCTTTAGTCAGTGTTCTGTCTCACACTCTGAAAACAGACGGAAGCCCTTTTTCATTACTCCTACCTGCAAGTGCGCCTGCAGGGGCTCTTGTAGGTTAAGATGAGGTGATTTGAAAGGACCAAAATTAATTGCAGGAAGTCTACTTAAGAAGCTTCTGTAACGCTCTGTTATTTTAACACCACACTACTTATAGAAAGCATCTCTTTCTATTCTTTGCCTATCCTGAGATTCAAATCAACTGAAAATGCACTCAACTAACTTTTTGTTGGTTTCTCTCCCCTGCAGTCATACTGCACAGATGACACATGCTATTTGCTGCCTGCCCAGAATACACTGTCCTCTCTGTTTGGAGTAACTCCAGTTCTGTCTGGTTTGGTGTCATCTGAACAAGGGAGCGACTCCTCCCCTGGCTCGCCCTGGCTTCCTTCAAGATTTTCCTGCACTAATTACTAGCATAGTTATTAGAGTTTGCTGCCAAAATGGCTTCAGATCAGCAGCCTAGTTTAGCACACCAACTGGGTTTGTCCAAAGGAGAAATCTTAAACCTGTCCAAGTATTCTGATCAGTTCAATGGGCAATGTAAGAAGGCACAGTAACAATGCAGTGTGTCTATGTTCTCTTACCCTCCTCTCTGCCCCCAGCTGGAACTGTGCCAGTTTAAAGCTTTCACAAGTGCTACCACCAGCTCTCAGCAGTGCTTTTGCAGAGCCTCACAGACAGGTGAACTACCTTGTCTTACATGTCTTCACTTGTAAACACTTCATATATGCCAGCAGGAACAGGTATGCCTGTTCAAGGCAATCTAAGCTAGTGTAATGCATTCTGGGGGGTCAAAAGACGAGAGAAGATAACATGGGTGGCCTTTGTTAGGTTTCATCTACTTTCACCCATCTGCTAGCTGTATTTCTGGTTCTCTACCTCCCTTTTAACTTCCCAGCACAGTTCATGCCTCCCACAGAGCCCAAGGGCCAGAAGGAGAAAAAGAAGAAGAAAAACAAAACCCAACCAAAACAGAACAGTGCACAGCACAGACATTTTCTATCAAGATGAAAGGAGAAAAAAAAATAAGAGTGTGATGGTACTGCTGACAACTGCACAGCAACTGGAACAAGGACTCTTCAAGAATCTACACAGCAGAGAGACCATAAATACATAATTCATTTGTCAGTATGCACTTATGACTCCTTGCATATGGCAGGAGTAGGGACGATACATCAGATTTCCTCTGCTTGGCCAATACCCCTAAATCTAAATGAGGGCAAAGTGCATCATTTCAGTCAAGCTAAAGGGGACAAAATATCAGCAATTTATCACCTCCCTGCTCCCTTTTCCCATTTTTGGGGTTTGTTTTTTGTTTGTTTGTTTTTTGGGTTTTGTGTTTTTTTTTTAAACTCTTCATTTTTAACATAACATCCCATTTTCATGAACATTCCCTCTGCTTGTGGGAAGGCCATGCAGAGCAGCACAGTGCCACACTGATTTCCATTAGCCAGTGCTCAATGAAGCTGGGCCCATTATCTCTACTCTGCTAAATCACAGTGGTTTTGATGCCAATGGTAACTCACTCAGTGCATTAGCAAGACACAACTACTTTTCTCCTGAGTCTGTTGGTAACAGCTCTTTCGACTCTAACAGCTCCTACCTCCCAGATTTCAGCAAGAGGTTTTTCCCAGCACTTATCTACTGCTGCTTACACAACCATCCACCTTCTACCCCATCCTTCAGCACACAGAATTGTGCAGTTCTTTCATGCAAGCAGCAGCTAAACACAAACACTGGTGCAACATGTTCTTTACCTCAGAGTCAGCAAACATGCTTTCCCCTGTGCTAGAGCACTGATGTTACTAATGAGAATAGTGCTTCCTGTCCAGTGATTAAAAGAAAGAGCTAAACATGAGCAGAACCTGCCACAAGCACAACAAAGTAATTTATGTATTCAGTAAACTCTTTCTTCAAATCAAAGACCACCTACAACAATATAAATCTTACATTAAAATAAGGTTGTGCCTTTATATTTGAAACGTCCTATATGCTTGCTGCCTGGAGTCACATGGAAAAAGTAAAGATGCTTAGTATCAGACAAGTAAAAGGTATTAAAAAAGACTAAATCAGCCCTTTCCTGCACATATCCATACAGCAACATTCACACAGCAATAGGACTCACTAGATCAGCTGTTTTCTTTTAGAGAGGTGCAACAGCCTCCACTGAAGCTGCAGGGTTAAGGACACAAGCAACACTGAAGGCAGCATGAAGGGGGAGGGTGAGAAAAGCAGTTTGTGCTTTCAGTGATTTTTTTTCACTGTGACCCTCTGTATGCTAAAATCCAAATCCTCTTCTTGGCTCTGTCCTTGCCTAGTTGTGTGACCTGGGATTTTACAAGCATTTTCTCATCAGTTCCTACACCAGTTCATCAGCCAATTTGCTTCTGCAATTTTCTTTGCTTCAGCAAACAAAAATTCTCATAACTGTAAAAATGCCATGCTTCAAAAACATTTCCTGCTGATGTTTCTTTAAATAATAACTGGTTCAACTCTTTTTGTATTAAAAGGGATTAGCTGGATGCACTGAGGTCCTGACACTTAACTCACCTTTTTCATAAACTCCTTGCCTGTAAAAATAGAGCTTGTATGTAATACTGTACCTTATACTCTCTCACTAATACTTGTTAGGTCCTCAAAAATCTTTACCTACCACACTGTATTGTGAGATGCGTGCAAAGAGATAGCTAATGCATCTGAAAATCTCAAGAAATACTTTGCTATTTAAAGTATGCAAATTGTGCCTCAGCATTCAAGAAGAGCACTGAAGTGGGATAGTTTAATCCCAGAGGAGAGTTGGAGCCCTCAGCTTCTTCCTGAGAAGAGCTTTTTATGTAACAGAAGTTACTCAGAAACAGAAGTGAAAGGAAGTACTCAGAAGGCCAATTTAATAGTACAAGCTGCTTATTTTAGGAACAGGAAGGTCTGATCTTTCAAATTTGAATTTCAGTGCTACAAAATGCACTGGGTGAAGACTGGCAAAGACATCATAAACTGTGGTCCTGCACAAATCAGATATTAAGGATTCGTGATGCCTTATTTAAGCATTAATTTCTTCCTCCAATAAGCCAAAAATCTTGCCTTCCCCAGCTGTTCACTTCTACCTCAACACTGTTAACTCCTGAATGCTACCTCAGGATGCTCCTTCTTTGCTGCTTGCAAGCAAACACTGATCATTATGGACAGTGGATGTAAATGCTCTAACTCCACAGGAAGTCCAATAGTTATCTGCATCATCCTTACCTACCAGTGGGGTTTGCAAAGCATTCTGGGGGAAGTTAAAGGACAGAGCAGAAGGTGCATCTTATATTTAGATGGGTCTTCTGGGGCAGAGATCAGAAAAAGGAAAAGCTTGGTCAAGCCCACCCCTCTCTGGATCCCAGGTGGTAACATTACTTACAACATGTTCCACCAAGCAGCAGCCGGCACTCTGCCTGCCAAGCCCTGCCTTTTCAACACTTAACATCCGCCTACTGTTTCACACAGTTTTAACATAAACTGATTAAAATACTGCTGTCTATGAATGGCACAGATTGTACAAAGTGGAAGAAAACCCCCAGGAAATCCATTTATCACAGAAATCTAGACATCTATATCGGCTATGCTGGCATCAAGATAAACATTTCTTTACTTCTTATCCTCTTCCAGAAGCCTCACCTATTGCTGCTTGTTCTTACCACCAAATGCAAAGAAGATTGCTTTAAGGCTATGACAGACTTTTAATTAGAAAGCATAAATATCAGGATTTCAGTGTCAAATCTTTACTACTCTTTTTGTCAGTACCCGGACCACTCTTTATGATGTGCCCTCAAACTAAGTCCCAAGGGTAGGATTTTGGATGCCATAAAGCCCTAATGTTTTATTTTCATCTATTTCCCATATTTCCTCAAACAAATTTAGATGAAATCATTCTTTTTGAAGAGGGTGTGGGAATATTCACTCTGATCCAGAATACCAGATAATATCTTGAGTATGAGGTTGTGGGGCAGGCAGCACCCAATCAACACATTTATCAAGGCCAAATAGCATGTCCCATACAAGATTTATACCTGTTTATCATACAAATCCATAAATGAGCTTATTTATAATTAACAATTATAAAAAATAAAAATTAAACATCAAAGCAGGAAAACTCCATTTTGAATGTTTTTAAGCTGTGGTTGTCTGTAGCAGCACTCTTGCTTTCCGAGAGGTCAGGAACACGAGACCTCATTATTCTAACAAAGACAGAAACTGTCCCACAAGGAGAACTAACACATGCACTAGCTCAGATACTAGCAGTGGTTCAAGATCTTAGTCTCAGCTTTATTCCTATCTTATTAAAGAAATATTAAATTTTTCAGAAAGAAATATGTATTTTAGCATTTAAAAGGAAAATAAAAAGGTCAGCACTAACTTTTACTAGGACATAGAAACCCTCTGAATTAAAAAAAAAAACCACTGAAGTAACAATAACCCAAATGAATTATTTCCCAAAACCTCTATATCTTGCAAGGATGCAGAATGTTTAAACGCTTAGGTACAGCAAAAATGTGACAGATTTGCCTCAATGCTAAACTTAAATACTAAAAATTAATGTCTCAACCATAACCTCCTAGGGACTGAAATAAACATTAAGTACCTGTGTAAAGAATTTCTAGGAAACAACTGCCTTACCTTGTGACTCCGTGGTAGCAGGAGATAACTTTGGATATCCTACAAATGAAAAGTAGTGTGTGTGACACAGTATATAATGTAATGGAATACATTATTACAAAATACCAATGCAGTCTTCTAAAAAGCATCCTTTGTTACCTAACAGCAACCTACTGAAATAGCTACTAAATAGCATCTCTTATGAAATGCTCAATTATCATTAAACGGGAGTGGTCGTGGTAACGAAAACCAAATTCCTACTACAGTGCACTAAATCACTATGCACTATGGCAAGAAAAAAAATCATTAAAGCTCCCCTAGTGGCGAAGCCGCTGTTGTTACCAATGATTTTACATTAGTCCCGTTGACCTCATGCTTTATGCAGCCTTGGCAAAGGCAACAGAAGTGGCACTGAATCTGTTTTCCTTACTTCTGTAGCCAGCTGGAGGCTGCAAAGGCCTGTTCACAGTATCTCTGCCATAAGCCCATTCCCAACTGCAACAGCTATAATGGACATCCACTAAAGCTGAAAGGTGGCTGGAGAAGCACAATAGATCTCAGTGCCACCCTTTTAACAAGACCTGGCTTGTCCACTGCACTTAAATGAGAATGATTCACTGTCAGTTTGGTTCTCTCACCTGGTGCTCCAGCATACCCTTCAGCAATGGGCATAGTACTTTGACCAGCCTGACCATCCACACTTCTAAGGCGCCCTCTTCCTGACATTAAAACGGTGCCAGGAGGCCCTGCCTCTCCAGTCTCCAGGATGATCCCTGTTGTTCCAGGCAGAAATGGCACAACTCCTGACCCTGGTAGTGCTGGGCGCGGAGCAGGTCTCGGCTGTGGTGGCAGGAGGGGAGTCCTCTGTCGTGGGGGTTGTATTTGTATCCTTGGCCTTGATGGAAGCAAGGATATGCCAGGCTGGGGCTGCAGGGGTGGTCTTGGTGGCAATGGCTGCCGTGGTACTTCTGATTGCCCTTTGAAATGATGAAAGCAGAAAGGAAGATGCAGAATTATTCACCTAAAATAGCATTTAAAATTGCTTTTTTTTTGGGGGGGGGGGAACAAACAAACAAAAAACAACCCCAAACAAACAAGGAAAAAAAAAAAAACAAACAAAAAACAACTTCAAAATAAAACAGGACTCAATTTGAGGCCACCTTTTCCCTCAGACCCAAGACTGCAGAGGTAAAACTCCTTTCCACAAGTGCAGTACTACAGACTCCCCTCTTTCCCAGCCTGAGACACAGGGAAAGGAATGAAGACAGCTTGGAGACAGGACAAGCAGCAGTCATAGTCACAGAATCACAGAATAGTTAGGGCTGGAAAGGACCTTAAGATCATCTAGTTCCAGATCCCCTGCCATTGGCAGGGACACCACACACCAGACTGCGTCACCCAAGGCTCAGTCCAATCCGGCCTTGAAAAATAACCTGGCCTAAGTCTAACAACCGTGAACATTCACCTGCTGGTCCAGCTTTGACTTGCTGCACCAAGCGGGCCTTGTATCCTACCTATTTCCTCTGCTGCCTTCATCTCCATTGCATGTTCTCTCCCTACCTTCACTTCAGTGTTCCTGAACCCCTCTTGCCCATCGCACCTACTTTTGACTCTGTACTCACACAACACTTAGCATAAGGCTGACCCTTTAGCACTACCATACCGAAAAGTATCCACAGAAAAAAAAAAATTGAGTAAATGAACAGGGACTTAACAGATTTTTTCCCCTACTTTGAAAAGCAATAAACTTCTAATTCCAAGTATTCCCATTACTAATATTTTCTGACAACAAAGGCAGAACCCTACAATATAATCCACCAGAAAAGCCATTATTGCTTAAAGAGATACCATTAAAAGACTTTTCCAGTAGGGCAGCCAACACGTATGACATCAGGATTTAATACTGCTGACATGGTTACTTTTGTGTATCTGCTCCAGTTCTAAGCTCTTTATAGGAATTACAACTTATTTATAAAACTGAAGTCTTATATGACATATAAGAATGCAATGTCCTCCCAAGAAGGAAGTTGAATTACACTAAGAACAGGAATTCACAAATGTGTAGATTTCAGCAATCCACACATTTACAGAGTAATGTGTCATTTCAGATGCTATGTCAGCTTTTACACAGAATAATTAGAATTTTATTCTAAATTAAACACTAGCATTGGTTATTTTGGTTGCATTTTCAGACTATAGCTTGAGGTGCAGGGATAGAAAGGAGTTTCTGCGGAAATGGACAAACATCCCCTTGCAAATCTAACTGATGCAACTCATCACACCAGAGATGCTTGCGATGGTCCACAGTGGAGACCACCGCTCTGAGGACTCAGTGGTCAAAATAAACACTTCCATTCATCACAGTCCAAAATCATCCTGGGTAAATTTGCCACTGGCTAGGGCTAAACAGACTGGCTCTGTCTAGCAGCAGACAGGGTGCAAAGCTTCCCCTGGCCCTCCTGCAGAGCTGGGGACACCCAGGAGTGCTTTACCCCATACCTTTGGGCAAGAGCCTACAACCAAGTCATGCAGGTATTGTCCATGCGCATGGCTGGGGCCAGACACTGTTGCTGGCAACCCACATGCTGTTCCGTGACTACTCAACACCTGCATTTTACCCTTGTGAATCTCATTCCTTGTTTTCATCTAAGTCCACATAAGCCTTCCAGAGAGGCCGCCTGAAGTCATAGCCTCACACCACCTGCATTCATTTACTAGATATGCCTGCTAGAAAAAAAATCTCCCTGAACTTTGCTGGCTGACTTTAACTGTCATGAGAGTCGAAACTAACACAAGCAATGCACTGATAAACTGCACTGAAGCTTACTTCATAACTCTATCCACAAGGCGGAGAACTAAGGAGTGAAATGTTCACTTTATACAGATTACAGTTATCTTCATAAAAATCCAAGGATTAAAAAAATCTTATTAAATAAAAAGCTTAAAGTATCGAAGTGAATTATTTAACAGAGTTGTTAACTTGGTGAGACATCTTCTGTCCACAGCAGCATAGATTTAGACCATCAACTAAGAGCTTCAGATTAACCCCATTCAAAACATAAATCGACAAAACACTTTACACCTTGGGATACAAGTACTTGTCATTGCTCTAGTCAATTAAGCTGAGCTTTGTTAAGACAACGACTTGGACTGACACAGGGAAAATGAATACATTGCTCTGCTTGCTTTTCTAAACCTTCAAATAACAACTGCTTAAATCCCATATCCTGTGCAAACTGCTTTCTTGTATGCAACATCAATACTGTAATATTCAGAATTGTCCAATTACATCTCCATGAAATTAAATCCAAAATCACCTGCCTAAAGCTCAACTTAAAGTACCAGCAATCAGATATGTGTGGATTGAGAGGGATCTGGTCTGCCATCTTTGCCAACCTTTTTGGCCTCTTCTGCTGAGGATGCATCATAGCAAGACACAGCACCGATAAATCACTAGACAAAGATGGTAACACCGGAGCCACCGTATCCTGATGCTGCATTCACACATGTTTTCAATTCACAAGGCAGTGAGAAAATGAAGCCCTGACGAAGGCTGGAGTGAATCTAGCTGGACCTGCTTAAGCTTTGCTGAACAACAGGCAAAACAGAAATCTTCCCTGTCATCTTCCCAACTATCTGGGAAGGCAAAGAGCATAGCTGAGCTCATTACACAGCTGAGAACAGTAACACTGCCTTCAGCAGTAGCATCCTGGCTGCTCTGGTTATCATCACTGGTGTGACAACTTGGTTACCATGTCACACAACAGCTTCTGCTCTCAGATGCCCATCTGCAAGTGAAACAGAACAAAAGGTTTCCCTCCTCGGCTGAAAATTTACTCAAAGAAGGAGGAATGATTTACAAGCAGCGACCTGGATGTATGAGGTGGGTGGGTCTTCAGGATGTGTCTGTTTCTAGTATCATCCTGCCCCAACCATGCTCTCCAGAGCCCCCAGAACACATAGAAACGAAGCACAAAGAACAAACTAGCAAGTAAAAGAATCTGTCACTGCACTCAGAATAAGCCAAACAGACCTTACTGGAATTTTTTTATGGATACCAAAAGGATTTGACAATTAAGTTACAAAGTACAAGCTCACAGGGAGCCTAGGGGGATTTACTATGGCTATGTGCCCTACAACACTAAGATTTTACGTTGTCCTTCATCAGTGTTGTAATGCAGAGCACACATTTGGTTTCTTAGGCCATAACTTCAGCAGATGACATTTTGCTGTTGCTTTCAAAGCCCAGCTATAGACACAATTCCCAGAAGAACTGCAGTTCAGGTCAAATAACCGTAACCAAAGCAAACTGCACTCCCAGCACGGTATCTGGCTGCATGACCACAGCTGGGATTCCTGGAAAACTTAATGAATCTGTATGAATAGGCAGTAAGTTAAAAGAGACCACTAACTAACATGGCTTTCACTTTCTTGCCATTTGAAGAGCAAACGTACCTGCAGAGAGGTACAGAGTGCAGTGAGAACAACTAATCCTACAAGACATGAAGCTGGAGATGGTCACCATCTAATGTGGACAAAGAGCTGCTGGACTACATTACCTTGGTGAGCACATGCATGGTTCCCTACACTCTTAGAGCAAACCACTGCCTGCTGCCACCATCACCCTGTGTATGGCAGGATGCTGTACTATTCTTCATCAGAAATTATGACAAATTTCTGGCCCCTGGGTCCATATCTGACACATAATCAGTCACTAACCTGGCTTGTCACTTTGGATAGAGGCACTTGAAACCCATTAATTAAAGATTTGGGGAAAAAAACACAGGCATATTCATAAGATCAGGGTCATTTGACTTTGCTCTGGTTTACAGTGAGCTGGGCTTACACTGCTTGGTAAGATTTTATATCGTATTTCTTGCAACATATCCTTGCCTTACTGCTTTCTACAACTGTTATTAGCAACAGCTTGTGTCTGTTTTGGCCCTTCTAAGGTCAAATGACATCATCTGAATGCTACGATACACTGGCAAATGGTGAATAAGAAATTCTACACTCATCTAAGGCCAGGACTGACAGTCTTCCTTTCAAATGTCGGTATTGGTGATGATGCTGCAGATCAGAGATATGTAAACAGTTAAAGTCATACCTGAACTCACATAACTGGGTTCCCAAACTACGTCAAAAAAAGTCTCTTTTGCCAAAATCTTTCTGCAACTCCAGCCATCAAAACTTACTTAGACTGCTGTGCCAGGCAGCGCTATTTTAATTGGAAACATTTAGGGACGGAAGTGTGTGCTTCACCAATCCTTCAGAGGTCAGACGCACCCCATCATAGGGAGGTTTGCTCAGAGTGCCTATTCCTCAGATCCAGCAGCAGCATCATCCTTCCACAGGCTCTCAACACCCAATGGTGGATCGAGAGCTCTGCCCTGAAACAGCATTATTTTATGGAAACCCAGGCATGCTGACACTTGTTAATGCATTACAACATTGTAAGAGGGCAGATAAATACCACCCATGAGGCTGCTCAAACACCTGCTTTAAATAACACACAAAAGATTACTGTGTGTTTCTTGGACCTTTCTCCAACGTTGGTCCCTACTGCAAATTTATTCTGGGCAAGATGGATGAGAAATAGGATTACACAGGTACATCATACTGCATTTTAATGGGGACTAGGTCTGCTTCTGCAAGATCTAGCGGTGAAGGTCCTAACCCTGCTGAATTTAAGTCAAGATTTCACCAAGTGAATTATCTGAGAATTATGGATTCCCTCCATTCCCCTTCACTTCTTCCTTTAAAGGAAGAGAAATATTTATGGTTTTAATCTCACACAAAAGCTTCTCATCTCAGAGGGATTTTTATGTAAAGTACTGCAATACATTTGGTTTTAAACAATTAAACGCTCAAAAGAAACACATCTATCAGAGGCTTTCCAGGCTCCACCTCAGAATAAGAAGGATATTCTTCACCAAAGAAACTACTGCATGAAGCACAACTCATCCATTCAAGCAAGAGCACTCACAGTCCTGCATCTGATCTCCCCCCAACCACCACCAGCTGCAAAAGCCCACAGCCTCTTCCCTCAGCACCTCTTCTTCTGATTTAAGGCAGGTCACAGAAATCGGCCTCTTATTTATCTCATAGGTGCACAAAATTAAAACCAGACACATAAACCAACTGAAGAGTGCGGTTTCAAAATAGCCTCCAATTCCTGTGTTTTTGTGTCATGCTGACAGAAACAGGAACTCAGCTTCCTTTTGTAAACTTTGACTCTCAGAAAAACAACCCTTTGCTGAAATTTGGAGGAAGAACTACAGAGCTCTTGCAAGAACTACACCCTCCTTCAGAGGGTACTGAGTGGCATTTGGCAAGGTCTCTAAACCTTCATGGCAAGGTTCACCAACATGTTGAGGTTACCATTTCACAGCATCTTAGGCCAAAGGGAATGTGCCTTTGCTTCTCAGCCACTCTAACGCAAACTTTAAACCACCTGTAGAGGTAGATTTGCACTAACATGTTGGACTACAAACAGAAGTGCTGAGGTGTAAGAACACTGCCAGCAGGGGTGTGCGCCTATTGCCAGCTTGCCAACCACATTGTGGGAATGCAAACTTCTGGGGGAACTATGAAGGAGAAGTCTTACAATGCCACACCAAGATAGGCTGGAGCTTGTTTGTGAAAGTCCTGAATCAAAGAGTTGGTGTTAAATTACAATCATTAACTCATGCTAAGAATACAGCTTCCAGAGAATCTTTCTTATCAAAAATCTGAATTCCTTTGACTTCCATATTCTCTACTTACTTTTCAATTTCCCCTGAGGAATCAAGAATAACATCATACAAGAAAATAAAACAAAATTTAGCCTAATTACCTGGAATAACATCCACAGATAATTACTACTTAAAACACACTTTAAACTCACTATCCAGTAATATTAGTTTCCTACTCTCTTTATTCTGGCTCAAAGTAAACAAGAAAGCATGTAAGACTTCTTTCTTTTGAGAATACTTTTATAAGGACCCAAAGCCCTCTACGGTGTTCTAGACCAAAGAGCCAAAATTAGAGTCACTGTAAAAACAAAGTAAAAGTTGTATAATATTACATTTTTCCTCCCTCCTTAGTTCCCTTCTAAATGATTCAGAAAAGACAGGCAGCTGAAAAACAAACAGCAAAAAGCATTTAAAAGAGAAAAAAACTTACTTGGGTCAGACTGAGATTTCAGCATGCCTTCAATGTCCGTGGTGATTTTGGAGACCTGGCTATTAAAGTGTTGTACAGAATTTTTGAGGCCAGAAATATCAGTGGAATGAGACACTATAGTCCCATTCATTTCACGGATGCAGTTCCATAAACTGCTCACATGCTTATTCAGACCTTCTTTTATCTTCTGCAAGTTACCCGAGACAGAGTCCAGCTTGCTGCAGACTTTTTCAACATGTGAGACTCTGCTCTCAACATCCGAAACACCCTCCTGGATACCCTGGGTCTTCTCTTTGCACTTGCTAAGATCATTCAGGATATGGTCATTCAACTGTTCTAGTCTCTCTTTTACTTCACCACAGCAGTTATCACTGGGGTGAGCAGTCTGGTTTGCAAATGTCCTCTGCATTTGATCGATTTTCCGGAAGACACCTCGTTGTGTTTTTCTACAGGTAGAATTGACACCCAGAAGCTGCTCTTTGCAGCTACTCAAGCCATCCTGAAGATTTTTCATATCTTTATCCATGACATTTAGACTATACCGGAATACACGTACATCTCTCTGCATTTTCTGGATGTCACGTTGGTTACCCTTAATTAAGTTGAGCTTCTCATTAAGAGAGCTATTTAGAGACTGCAGGAGAACAGAGTTATTATCTATTTTCGAAAGCAAATGATTGTATTTGTTGTTACAGTTTTCTAGCTCTTTCTGAATGTCCTCCATACCCTGTGGTGCAGACTGACATTTCTGTCCGCAGAGGTGTTCAAGTGACAGTAGTTTGCTCTTCAGGAAATCTATTTCTTCTGTAAATTGTTTATTTGTGAATCCTGCATCACTGGGCGAGATGAGCCCAGGATTAACAAACATTCCATCTGGGTCTGTGGTATTAGCAATCTCTAATATAGTGCCACCCAGCCTATCTTCTAGTGCCCGCAGCTTTTGATCAAACAAGTCTCTCAATTCATCTACTTCAGCAGCTATGGCACCACGGAGAGTTTCCTCAACGTAAAAGCAATGTTCTTCAGCATTTCGTTCTGTAACATTCATCCTCGCATCCAGCTCCTCCAACCTCTCACCAAACATGTCTTCTAGATCTGGAGTTGATAATCGACTGATCTCATTATCTATTCGGACATTCAAGATCCTGTGTGCTTCCGCAACTCTCTCAATCTTTTTATCTAAATCCTGTATCTGTTGGTCAAGGTCATTCCTCTCACCCTCCTTGCAACAACTGGACTTGTTTGATGGGATCTGAGTTCGGAGAGTATTTATTTCTTTCCTCAAGTCATTCTCTTTTCCCTTTATAACATCAATTATTCCTACACAGTTACTGTCATTGTCATCACACTGCTGCTGGATATCCTGTAATTTGTGTTCACAGGAGCTCTTCAGATCTGCCATTTTCTTTTCAAATCCTTCCAGTAGTTCCTGTCTGAGGGACTCAAATTTGGAGTCTATATACTCCTGATATATGTTGTCACTGGGCATTGTTACTGTAGGTCCTTGTGCTGCCTCCTGCAGTTGTTTTAATTGCCCTTCATAGTCTTTAACTTTTCCATTTAGTTCTTCCAGCTTGTCATTCCTCATCTTCAAGGCTTCTTTGACATCAGCTAGCTCAGACTTTAGATCTTCCATTTCAAAATCAATAAAAGGGTCTTTCTGATCTTTATTGTTGAGCAGTCCAGGCAGATGAATAGTGTCTGTTTCACCACCAACCGCACTATCAGGCTCTGGGCGGTCATAAAGGTTGTTCAGCCAAGTGACCAACATTTTACTAGCATCTTCTTGGACAGTCAACTTTAGATTTTCATTCACACCTGCCACAGAGGACTGAAGTTCAAGCACCGATCGTGTAAGCCTAAACAATTCATCCTCAAGAAACTGCATTTTCTTCTCATATGGTGGAGGTTCTGGCTCTTCTGTTGGTTCTGCATCTGTTTCATGGAAATAACAGACAAAGCCTGGATGTAATTACTAACAGTGGTATCTGTTTTAATCATCTGAGGCTAATTTCACTTTTCTTTAAACTGAAGAATGGTTTAAATTGCATAATTCTTGTTCCCTTTTCTATTCCTGTTTTCAGTAGTTTATACTTAAAACATTATCAGAACACTACAAACTAAAAATTTTAGCGCACTGACCAACTCCTACCAAGACAAAATGGCGATAACAAAAAATCAGCAAGCAGAATCCCCCTTCTTGTTCAGCAATGAATCTAATCTATAGCATATATGAGACCATTATAGAACCATACACATCACAACACAAACACCTATAACAATAATTCGGGAGGTACAAACACCTATAACAATAATTGCTCCTGAATTCCCACTGAAAACTTAAGTGGCAACAATTTATGTGCCTGAAGTGGGTTTATGCTTCAGTGTTCTGCTGAACTGGAATCCAAATGCACATACTGGATGGGGTTCAAGAAGATATTCCAGTTATCAAATTGCTTCAAAAATACATAATTATTCAATACATATTTAAGTAGGCAATGAAAATTTGTATAAAAGCATAAGCTTCACACATCCAAAATGACTAGATAAAATAACACCAGCACTCTCCTCAAAAAAGTAAACGGAGTTAAGAAGCAGAAGCTAAAAAGAAAATACACTTCTTAAAATATGACAGAAAATAGACACACAAATTGTTACCATTAGAATAACTCTTTCAAATGACAAGTGGGGTTAACAGTTAAATCTTCAGACAAAATAATTTTGGTACTGGTTCCAAGCTAGTTATATAGTGGACAGCATCACTGAGATAGGGTCTGAAGGACATACAGATGGATTTTTTCCTAAGTTCTAAACTGGATTTCAGCTTAAAGACATTACAAAGCAGGAGGGAAGTCACAGATGTACTCTCAAGACTGGCAGGGTGGCAGATTCCTTTAATAATAAAAAAGTATGCGGAGTGTAGCTACTAGATACCCACTGGTCTATTTTTGCATTAAATTGTGGGTATCTTAGGGTCAGAGCAGAAAGAAAATCTGTAGACATAAGCAGTGTGCAATTTTCGTAAAGATATCACTGTGGTTTATTATTATCTTCTGGAAATAATACTTTAGGTGGGATAACAAAATATTTTAAAAGCTTATTTTTAAAGCACATATATAATCTATAGGAGTGGTCTGACACAATGTATTCAGTCCCAATCCATTCCACTACACAAAACCACAAGGGGAAATCTGACTAAGCACCATACGTGACACTAACCTCCAATGATGTTCAAAGAAGTCCTTCAGAAGGAAACATCTGTTTGTCATTTTTTGTTAGTACAGAAAAAGCACAGGACTGAGTAACAGCATTCCTTCTTATTCCTTTAAAAGACACTATCTTACACAAACAAACATTATTCACTCTTTAAGGTATTTTTTCAGAAATCAAGGTTTATCATTCCCCTTCAGTGGTAAGGTAAGTAATTTAACATAAATCTGTAAAATCTGCACATGCCCTTGAACAAAGGAAAAACTGCTCTGGAGCATTACATATCATTAAAATTAGTAGCTGTTCTTTTTTGGTTTAGTAACAGTCCCTCTCAAATACATCTTCTGTGCTGAATACTGAAGAAACCACAAAAAAACTCCTGTAAAGTCTTACAAAAACCCCAACCTTAACCCAAAGGTTTTCCTGAACCATGAGTAGGCAGTTGGTATTTATGGCCAGTGATCTACAGCCACCCCTCCATTATTCTTCAGGAAATTCTCTCTATCAAGGCTGTTACTGCCTGGCTATTATGTTCCCACCACACCATGTCTTCCATATGGCTTTTGTACCTGCCAGTTGCTGAGTTTAATAGAAACCATAATGGCTCTTATACTTAAAAAGACAAAACAAGAAACCAGACATGACCATGCATACCAAAATTCAAACAAAAAGTTACCTAAGCCTTTCTTCACAACAGCTTTTGCTGGTGTTGTGGGACGACGAGCAGTGTTTGGCTTTTCTGCTGGGCCTTCTTTGCAGTCCTCCCCTTTGTACCCAGGACAACATCTCCATTCCAGCTCTGTTACTGTCTTATATGCAACTGTGTACCGAGGTCTGAAACTTGTCCGGTATCTGCCGAAACAGAAAGCATTTTAAACAATCCATAACCTAATCTGCTATTTAGATTAAAACAAAAATTAAAACTTTTTTTTATTAAAAATAATTCTTTTCATCTATGATTTATTTTGTCCTTCAAATATCAAATGAAAAAATGTTTCTACCTAGGTTTTAAAGTTACCTGCCCTCAACACAGTCATGTCAGGGAGAGCAAATATGGCCATAGAACAAGGGCTTTCATGTATGAGCAGAGGGGTAATATGATGTGGGAAGCGAATTTTCAACTCATCAGACACTGCTAACAGTGACCACCAGTGTATTACTCTATAAATTCAAAAACCTTTTTCCTCTAACTGTTTTACATTGCAAACCCACCCACAGGGCTGCTCTGGCAGCAGCTCTTCTGGACATCAAAAATTGTTTCTGCCTTTGTCCCACCTGCCTTTCCACAGTCTCCACACAAGCCATTCCTCAGAATCCATATGTAAGGAGCAGTCAAAACTAAGAGGAATATTACAGGAAAAGACAAAATGGTGAAAGCATGAGTCAGATAAGGACATGAAGAGTCAGATGAAATGCCACAACCAACAAAGGAATCTTTCCTACTTCACTAGTTAAGATGAAAATGGTCTTGCAGACAAACCTATGCACACATTACATACATAAGTCTTAAGTTACCCCAACTAATCACTCAAAAGTTAATAAATGGCAAACTGATTCTGGTTGTGCAACTTTCTTTAACCACAGACTTACTCCATAACTTTGCTCCAGCACGTGTACCCCATGTTCAGCTGCATTCACACACCAAGGTATCCCACCAGACCATAGGCAGAGGCTGTGCTGTTTTAGAAAAACTAAATCAATTTAAGGTACCATTTTGGATTGAGAGAGGAGGAATATAAGTAAAACAGGAATTTGCCACATGAGCTCTATAAATTGGTATACCTGGAATATGTAAGAAACAAAAAAGTTATCTCAATTTCTCATATTAACTCCTTTCTTTTATAAAATTAGTATCATACTACTAACTTTTCTATGGCCTTTTCAGATCTTCTTAAGGTTATTTCAGATTAGACAACAGTTTGCATGCACTAATGAACAAAAGGCTCACTTCACAGCTGAGGTGTCCCTAAAGTAGTGGTATCAGCAGAACAAATACAGGACAGCAGCAAAAGACTCAGCTCTGCAACAGATTTCACTCCTAGCCTGGCCAGGCTCATAGGAAGTGTATTTTGAGACAGAGAATACAGAACAGAATGGGCACCAGAAGCAGGCATGCGAACCAGACCAAAATCAATCACACGTTTCATTAAACACTGCCTTGTATTAATATGCAAAATTTGTTACTGCAGAAAATAATAAGCAATCAGCTACCAAATGTAGACTTACACTGATCGTGAAAGAGTTCACATTATAAGTCAAACTGCTACTCTTCAAAGCTTCTCTTGCCATGCGTGTAAATAATTACTGAAATAATTCTGTATACTTTTATTCACCTTTCACCTTCAGAGACATAATTTTAATATAATATCTCACATCTGATAGCCATTTGCTACCACTATCACTTTATCTACGATTTCTCATTTAAGGGAGAAAAAATTAACTAGAGACTGTCATATTTTTTCCAACTGTTTGGGGGCCAAAGTGTAGTTTATTCTAATAAACCTCTCTGGATTCCCTTCTCCTTGTCAATCTTTACAAGGAGACAGGGGCAAGCTACGCTGTAGCTCTGTCGATTAGCTGCTTGTGACTGCTGTAGTTTGCTGTGGTTGTAAGCTTTCCAGATTCTGACTTGAAGCGTGTAAACACAAGAGCAGGTTTCCAATCCTGTTTTACCTTCACAAAACCATATATATGAAACAGCAGTAAACTGCACTCCAGCTCATCATTTCTTTTAAAGTTTTCACTAAAACATCTGCTGATTCTGCCTGCAAATGTGAAGTACAGACATCCCCAAGGTCAAGTGCTTTAAAAATTGAGAAGTGCAACGTAGAGGGCACCACTGGGAAGGACAACATCCCAGCCACCCAGGAACTTCCTCTTCCTTCTCCCTTAGCTAAAGTATTAAACTGTATGTTGTATAGGTAATTTGGGTTTGATCCCTTTCCTTCCAACCAGCTGCCAGAGTCAGAGGATGGAAAGGATTAGCTAGATGCTTTAGTGTTTGGAAGTGGTTTTGAAAGTCATTACAAGCTCTCTCACAACACCACATTACTGAAATGCAAACTTTGAACTTCCAGATAAATTTTCACATGCTGGAAATGGTCGTACATACTTTCCTCTGATTTCCATAAAATACTTAACTTTGTGTGTGTTTCTCTCTATACTTTCAGGGCCAAACTCCTTCCTCAAAATTACAGTATTTCGATTATCTTCAAACACCATTATGCTTTTCCATGTTTTCTTAACAAGGTTTTAAGAATATAGCTGAAACATTTTATAAAAGGAGCAAGAAATACTTTTATGCAAATTGTGCACATCTACACTCAAATTATGGCAGGAGGGTTTTCCTTGTCCTGTTTCTGCCATTCTTTTTATACCTTCTCTATAGTCATGTTCATCAATGTGGACACCTTCAGATGATATAACCAAATGCAAAAGAAGAATTATCAACAAATTAAAAGAAATTAAGCTTAGTATTTTCCATATGGGCAAATTATAAAACTTTTCCAAACTCCATCTTAAAAAATAAGCAAGCTTGACATTCTCACTCTTTATTTCATAATTTCATGATCCTAAAAATCATAATATAGAATCATAGAATAGTTAAGGTTGGAAAGGACCTTAAGATCATCTAGTTCCAACCCCCCTGCCATGGGCAGGGACACCTCGCACAAAATGTTTTCATATGATTTAATACAAAAATTATTTGAAATGCAGAAGAATTCTCCCCTTCTAAGTTACAAAGTATGAACAGAATGCATCTACAACTTTAAAAAATGTTGTAGCAGTCTATTCCTTACAAATTCTTTCAAGTCTGAGAGCTCAAGCAAATACATGAATTGGATCTGTTTTGATTTCAGCTACAGCACATCAAATGCAGACCAACCTGAATCCTAAACTACATTTCTCCTGGAGAAAAATTAAGTTAGAATCAAAATGCTTCAAAATCTGGATGTAGAACAGCTTTTACATTTTACATCTTGAACTGTGGTCACAGGACAGCTATGCTCATGGATGGCTCATAAATTAAACTGGGGTTTACTTACCAAGAACTACTGCTCCTCTCTACTGCCAGTGCAGCTGAATGGATCACACAGCTAGTCCCATTTACTTCAGCAAAGCTAATCATGTAATGCTGGGCACAAGGAACTTATCCTAACACTTTTCTAATTTGAATCCAGTCACATAAAAGTTTCTTAAATATCACAGCTTCACAGCTATAGCTTCTGTGCTGATGATATGCTTCAGACACAGCTGTGGATTTTGCTCATACAAGGAATGGTGTCACTGTGCCAGCAAGACTCAGATGCAGTCATAAATGGCAGTCACCAGCATGCATCCAGCTTCTCAATCATACAAGTTTTTTAAAGGCAGAACTTCTCTCACTCAGTGGATTTCCATGGAGGAGCTGGAGACCTCCAGGATCTTGCCAGGATGTAACAGTCTATCAGCAGTGAATGCAGTTATATTCTTGGTTACAGTTCTAACAAAACAAACCAGAAAGTTCTGCTAGGGACCGCATCCTGAGAATAATTTGTCATTCTACATGTTTTAATGACATAGGAGTGGGAGCTACTAGAATATACAAACCAGACATGTCTTTATATATATTTGCAGTATTCTGGATCCAACTGCTCACTCAGTCACAGCAAACATGTTACATACAAGTACAAACACACAAAACATAACATGCCCAAGTTTCACACATCTTTTTACCTTGTAGGTGTGAAAGATTCCTAGTGAGACAATTCGGTCAAAAGGGTTCACAAATACTACAAATGAAATAATTATTTTAGAATGCATGAATAAAGGGTGATTTTAACAGTCTAATCTTTCCTTGCACCAGAGAAAATAAGAACATCTGGGTTTTAGGAATCTTTCCACAACAGGCCTACAACTACCAACACCTACTACCTTCACCATGAATTCAACATGCCGATCAAATGAGAAAACACATTCAGAACACTATGCAAATCTCCACTTTTAATATTCAAGTATTTCACAGTTCAAATAAAGTTGTATAGTGTGGAAATATTTCTCCTTTTTGAAAGAAAAGTATTTTCTTAGGAAAATGCTTGATTAAAAATACATGTTTGCTGCAAATGCTAGACATTTTGACTAGGCAATGAGCTATAAATTTCTTGTGCTAAACCACAGAAGGAAGCAGTTAGCAGTGATATTTGGAATGTCACCTAATAGCGATAAAACAAATCAGAAACATTTGGACAAAACTGGTAGGAAAACATATGGCTCAGTTCTGTAACTAGATATTAACATTCAACCTTTTGTGAAATGCAAGGAGATAAGTGCCACCACATCCTCACTGTGAGCAAGGGACTGCAGAATCAGCATATGTTTCTACATAAGTAGTGTATAAAATGCTTATTCTGAGCACAAAACTTCAGAGTTGGTCCAAAATTCTGTAGTCACTGGAACAGGTCCATAACTTCAGCAGCCTGCAAATCACAGGCTTATTGAATAGGAGATAACAGATTGTCACTGTTTATTGCTCTAACCACTCTGGATCCATTCTTTGTAAATTACATAGTCTGCTCTTGCATGTCCCAGACACCTAAATCTTCAATATATTGCAAGGGGAGTGCTGAAGTAGCACACAGACACCCCACAAAATACTACCTAGAAGATGTAATTAGATGCAGTCATATTTTGACCAAGCACTTTTTATTCTGTAGGCTGCAAAGGCTTGCACTGAAAATATACCTGTTGACCATTTATACTACACAGTTACTAAACTAGAACCAGTTGTTCCCAAGTTTTCTGTTTCCCAAGAGTACAGGCCTAATTCCAACCTCTATAAATGACAGCAGAAATCCTAGTTCTACTGAAATCGG